AAATAATTAATCGAAACATCCATTTTCTAATTTATCAATATATATCAGATTACGGCTGAAGTTTTTTAGACGGCTGTTTTTGCAGATTAACAAAAAAGGTAAAAATGATTTTACTTCTGTAATCGAATAGTATTAAGATATTTTTTTTTGTGAACCATCACATGATAGAGTAAGAGTTCATTTATAAATTTATTTAAACATACACACACACAATAAAGTACCGAAGGGATCCAACATTCTAACGTCTCATATACAACCTGTTAGACCCGTCCTCCCATCATATCTGTCCCCTAACTATCATACTTTTCAATACCTATTCTGTTACAAATAAGTCCTTTCAAATTTATTTTTTTTCTAATGCATAATGGATTTATACATTTCTCTTTTTGGTGTGTTACAGAAAGTAACCCAATGAATTCTATTTACAATAAAAGTAATAAGATTTAAATATAAAAAAATAATTTGATTTACCATTTAATTCTGAAAAATTATTGGAAAATGTATTAGTAATAAGATGTTCAAATTATTTATATAATTTATAATTTGTTTTATTTGTTTATTTGACACTGTACACTGAGCGACATTGTACAGTAGGACGTACCGGTTTTGGGCACTTGCCGTTATTATGTATGTCATAAGTGGCCGGTACTTGAAAGTCGTCATGAGAGTACACACGCACTTTTATTTCTTTTCTGAGGATTACTAGACAAAGCACGCTCTAAGAAATTGTAGGTATTATTTTTTTTCCCCTGACGATCATCAACCTAATAATGTAGTAGCTGAACCAGGGCTTTACCACTCCTCACAGAGTAGTTAGTAAGGCAATCATATTTAGGTTGAGTCATTTGCATATGATCTATAGCGGCAATAGTTATGGCAAGCATGTTTAGTAAGTAGAAAATCAGACAAATTGGTGGTTAGTAACTTCTAAAACATAATTTACAAACATTTTGAAAAAATTCTTAACATTATCAAAAGATCGTCCTAAATTTGACAACGTAACGGACTGCGTGAAGTTGGTCCCCTCGCTTGAAAAAGGGCCTCGCATAAGAAATAATTGTTTCCAGATTCTGAGAATGAAATCGGAGAAAATTTAATGTGATTCGTACTATATAAAGAGAAAGCAGAAAATGTTTTTGTTTTTATCTTTAAATCTATTATCAAATCTTCTATTATTTCAACATAATAATACTAATATTAAAATGTATAATCCGTATTACAATATTTAGGTAATTATGTCCTTCAATGACATTCCGGAAAAATTCGTATTGCGTAAATAACAAACAATATTATCAAAATACACTTATTGAGGCACATCGTTTAAAACGGAAATTATTAATAAACATTCAGGTAAACATTGAATTCAAATTTGTATTTTACTATGTAAAATATTTTAAAAATTTTATTATACTTACTATAATTTTTAAATATGTTAGCTGCAGAGATAATAAAAATAAAAATAATGTTATTATAAATTATTTTATTTTTTTTTAAATGATAAAATCGACAGATATTTAATATGAACAATAGTAAATTCTACTCTTTGTAAGTAAATCATTACAATTTTATATTAAACATATCAATTTTTTACAAGAGCAAATTTTACATTCATGATAACTATTCCTTTGATTCCTAACGGAAATTATTTCTTATACCATCCGATCTCCTTACCAGTTCCAATAAAAAATAATACCCTAGTTCTTATCGCATTTGAAACTGACCATCTATCAAAAACCAGTGATACTAATAATAGTATAATATGTCCATATACAGTGAACTTTTTTAAATGAAATATGCCAGTTTTCAAACATATTTCTCCATTTTTCTCTTCAAGACTAAAGTTACTTTATTGAAAAATATAAGGAAGTAGAATATGTGTTTTACCACAAAAATTTTCAAAATGAACATCAAAAAAAAAAAAAACATACGAAGTTAATATTATCTAAGTAGATTTTATTAATGCATACAATACTTACCACCTTCTCCTACGAAAATTAAAATTAAAAAAAAAACATTGGTAAATTATTATGGTTTTTATAGTAAGAACAAGTACATTATTAAATATTAAATAATAAATATCATATCTCCTAAAACGGGAATCATTGGAAATTATTTCATAGGATTTTAGTAACAATAAGTCCCAACAATTTCACGTTCTACTTTCCGATTTATTTATTTGAAATTCCTATGAATAGTGTCTAATTTTCAATACATTAATAACATCGATACAGTGATGAACCTTAATTAGGTACTCGAATAAATTGGGACTATACTTTGCTTGAAAAAGTGAACGCTCATGGCAAATCGCTTTAAAGTAATGGTTATAATTTTTAAATTATTGGTATACAATAAGAAGTTCAATGACAGAAAGAAAAATAATAAAAACAACAACGAAACAAATTATTTAAATAGATTATTAATTACTTGATTATTAACAGACGATATTCAAATATTTTTTGGGTGATTCAACATGCAATTTTAAGAGTAATTTATAACACAACTCAGATATTTGATTATTTCATACGTTGTGTTTATTGACTTTAAAATTTATCTGACTCTAATTCAAATTTGTATTATACTATGTAAAAACACCAGAAAAAAAATTATTATACTTACTTGCGCTACCGTCATCTTCAGAATTAATAAAAATAAAAATAACAGTTTTATATAAATGATAATTTCAAAAAACCTTTATAATGAATAAAAAATATTTGGTATACCAATAACAAATAACCAAATAACAAAAATAATATAAGCAATAAGTAAAGAAATATTAAATAAATTGAATGTAAATAATTTAAAACATACAAACGGGCTAACAGGTAAATATGATGTCGGGCTAATCTAATTCACTGCAGTCACATTTGCCCGACTTTAGATTCGTTTATACACCGGTTTTCTCTTGTTTTTTCCCGGTTTTTTACATTTACCGGGAAAATTATCAGAAAAATCAAAAAATTGCCTCTCTACGGACGTCCGTAGTCAGATTTCTTTTCAGAAAAATCTGAGCAAAATTGCTGATAGAAAAGTTGTACACAGAAAAAAAGGTCATAATATTTTTTTAACTTATACCTACATTTTGTTTATTTTCCGTTTATCCAATATTTTATCCCGGTTTTCCCAAATATTATGAAAACCACTTCAAAAATCAAATAATGACCTCCCTAAGTTACTATAGAGAAAAAATTTTCTTTCAGAAAATAAGCTACACTTCATATTCGAGAGTAGACAATACAGAATTATTATTATTATTTAATAAAACATATATTATCCTAATACAAATGAGAACATCAAAAAGCAATAATTTCGAAACTTAGTCAGTCCGCTCAATTCCACCTTCACCATCATTCTTGAATCGACAATATGCATATTGTTAAAAAAAAAATTTAAAAATTTTCTTTAGGTTCAGAGATCCTTCTAGGATTTTTTTTTCTATGATATCAAGTTTTTTTTCATCTCCCTGAGTCTCACATGGGTATATTATCATTGCTCTCGCTAATACTCTTAAAGTCTCTCTTTTCATTTCTTCGACAGTATCTTCTACCACAATAACCCAGAGAGGGTGTAGAAACATGTGTCCCCCCTCCGATATAATGCATTTTTTAAATTCTTCATGGTTATCGTTTTTACTACCTAGGTTGGTATCCAAATATTTAAAGTTATCTACTTCTTCAAACACAGAGTTGCCGACCTATGATCCAGCTGCCTATTGCATCTGATATCTGTTTCTGCCGACACGCATGTATTTGTTTTGTTCTTGTAGAAATGCCATTGCAAAGAATGTATTATTATACTGCTTTTTTATAATTATTATTTTATTTATCTAGTTAACAATTATTAGTTTGCTTAGTTATCTACTTATATCTACTTATAATGTTCTTTGATTATATTCTGATATCTAATACCTAAGTATTTTGTATGTAATTAAAATATGCAAATGATATATGCTAGTAGTTAGAATACATTTCGAAATCACGTAGAATCAGTACTACTATGAACACCAGAACTTTTTCAATGTGAACAAATATATGCAAAGGTAAAATAATGATTCAGATTCAAAGGAAATCGAAATAATTTATCGGGAGTAGCGTTTCCCTCGGAGATTCTTATAAAATCTATTATACAATTTTATAGAATATCATCATATCAATTTTTTACAAATACAAATTTTAAATATGTGACAAACATTCCTTTGATTCCTAATGGAAATTATTACATATACCATCTGATACCAGTTTCAGTGAACAATAATAGCCTAGTTTTAATCGCATTTGAAACTGACCACCTATCATTAATCACTGAAAGTGAGAAGTTCTCAACTCTAAAACACGACCATTGGGAATCGATTTGTATCTTTTTCAAATCTTAACACTCTTCTTCACTCTTCTCATTCAAGAGTAAATATACTTCAAAAATATAGGGAAGTAGAATACGTGGTTTTACCACGAACATATTCCAACAAAGGACAATCAAAAAAACATACAATGTTAATATAACCTAACAAGTATTTATTAATCTGTGTAATACATACCATGATATTCTAAGAAATTGAAAATTAAATAAATATCAGTTATTATTATGATTTTAATATTAAGAATAATTTTATAAAATAAATAACATTTTCATTAAGACACGAGAATCATTGTTTTTTCATTGTTAAGTTCTATTTGTTATACAACTTATAGACTACCTTCGAAATTAATATGAGTGATGTAATAATAAGTCCCAAAAATTACACGTACTATTTTCCGATTTATTTATTTTAAATTCTCACAGTTGAGGTACACAGATATACAGAATTTAAGGGTATATAATAATAAAATTGTATATATATAAACATAATAATAAGTAAAATGATACGATATACAATAGTAATATAAATCAACAAATAACCGTTCTACAAGCAACTACATAAGACATATATGTTATAATAAAAAAAAAAATGTCTATTCAGCGTCTGCTGTACTACAGTGATATGACAATGATATAGTATAGAACCTCGATTATCTGAACTAAATGAGACTACACTTAGTTTGAATAAGTGAAAGTTAGGATATAGTAATTTTTTTAAAAATTAAAAAGCTCACTTCAAAACGATTTAATTATATAAAATTTAACAAAGTATTGATAACGATTTTTAAATTATAGATTCTTTTAAAATATCTCATAAAATTTTATAAAATATTAGACATATCAATTTTTTACAAGGACAAATTTTAAATTCATGATAACCATTCCTTTGATTCCTAACAGAAATTATTTCCTATACCATCCGATCTCCTTACCAGTTTCAATTAAAAATAATACCCTAGTTCTAATCGCATTTGAAACTGACCATCTATCAAAAATCAGCGATAGTGAGAAAATCTTAACTTAACTCTAATACAAGACCAATGAGAATCGTGCTTAGATTTGAGAATATTCAAATTATTTAGGGACAGTCTAACTATTTATCGAAAACATAGTGTGTCCGAAAGGATGATTTGTGTGAACCAATACTTTTCAAAAATCAACAAAACCTTTCTAAATCCTGTCGTATTAAATGTTTTTCAATTACATCGGTGTAGCATAAGTTACCCCGAACAAATAAATATTTCTTCTTCACATAACCAATGTGTATAGAAGATTTAAAAAAAAAAAAACATTATTTCATTACAGAATGAAATATGTCAGTTTCTAAACACAGTTCTTCACTCTTCTCTTTCATGAGTTAAAATACTTTATTGAAATAAAGCAGAATATATGTTTTACCAAAAAAATATTCTGAGAAATAGTTTTTATTAATCTATGTAATACTTACCATCATATTCTACGAAATTAAAAATTTAAAAAACATCAATTATTATTATGATTTTAATAGTAGAAATAAGTATAGTAGATAAAAAAACATTTTTTGTTGAGACATGAGAATCATTAGTTTTTATTGGTTATATTCAATTTGTTATACAAATTATACACTAAATCTTCATTCGAAATTAATTAATAGAAGTGATGAAACATTAAGTTGCGCGTACTATTTTCCGATTTCTTTATTTTAAATTCTTACGAACAGTGTCCAATTTATAAAATATTAATAAAAATAATATAGAATAGTTACTTTGATTATTCTAACTTGAGACCACACTTATTTTGGATAAATGAAAGTTCAAACACAGATAATTTTTAATAAATTTAAAAATCTCACTATGAAACGCTTTAATCATGTAGAATATAACAATGTAATTTTTACAATTTTTTTAAATATTTTTATTAAAATATTTTTTTTAATATTTTCTTGTATCAAGAAGACAGAAAGAAAGAGGATAAAAAAATAACCACTCATCCATGTACAACCGTGTACGTAGGTCTCAAAAAAGAGGTTAAACTACCTCTCAGTTGTTTTTTTCCAGATCAAATCTATGCTTAACTAACCTAACCAAAACTATACTAAACTAACCTAACATTAAATTTTATATAGGCTAAACTAACCTAAGATCTTGAGAATCCAAGGTGTTATTTATTTAGATCATAGAACTACTGAAATTAAAAGCCAAACCTATAACAAACTAACCTATATTGTATTTTTGCATTTTCTAATCTAACCTAAGATTTCCAATAATATGAACTAGAATGGTTATAATAATATGTAATGTGCGTACGTGTATTGCTCCGAATGTATACCGACAGAGGGTGTGTAGGGCAACGCGAGTGCGTAGGCTACCGCGGATTAATATTCGTATAACGAAAAATCACGACCTTTGCACCAGCATGTGCGAGGACTCGCACGATAACGGTATCAACAATGATTATATTTCATACCTATATATTGCTTTGCTATTAAAAATACTTGTATCTTTTTTATGTACAATGAGCATAAGTTATACTTTAATACTTATAAAATAATATTTTTCAAATAGGTACCCGAGATCGGCACATAGTATGATAATTCTATCATCTATGGAAACGAATACACATAAAGGTAATCTAATAATTATTTTACAGAAAAGCAATACGATGTATCGATACTTCGTGAAATGAAAGAAAAATTAAATTTGTCCCTACATTTGTGTCCCCCCCCCCCAATACAAAACCCTAGTGAACAAAAATGAACATTTACATAGTTATTAGCATTTTGATAGTGTTTTGTTAAAAAGGCGTATACCACTAAATATCGAAGAAGACGTTTTTGGTGTTAACACAATAAAATTAGAAAAATTAGAAACATAAACATAGATATTAATATCTATGACATATTTATGATAACTTTAATATCTTTGAGATGTCTATAATAATTTAACATCTATAAGATCTCTATGATATCTTTAACATCTATAAGCATAAACTGGTAAAAGGGCGTATTTAAATACAGAGAATCACGATGGCAATGCCGATTAAAAATATTAAGGCCCTTTGAAAATATAATAAAATAAACACTGATTTGTTAAAAGGACGTATACCACATTCAATGCATGTTTACTTTGTGTATAAGGTATTATGTGTAAGAGAAATTGTATTGTTTTCCATGATAATAATCATTAAAAATGGTTTTGCTCTTTCTTTGCAAAACAGTTTTTTTTTTGCCTTCCGAAAAAATGTTAAATTTCGTAGATGCCCTTTTAAATAAACATCCTCGATTTAGATGACACTGTAGAATATCCTATATAATAGATTAAAAAAACAACTAATATTTTGTAATGGAGTACATGTTTTCAAATGAAATATGTTGGATTTCGAATACTATTTGTGGTTGTTCAGGTTTTACATACTGTACAGAACATAGGTCATTCATTTCAAAAAATAAACAAGTAGAATATGTGTTGTACAAAAAAAATATTTTAACCAAAACAAATAAAAATATACACAATATTATAGTTCCGTATCGGATCTCATATTTATTTAATATTTCGGTAAACATAAACTGTAAATATTTCTTATTTGTATTTATCAATCTGTATAAAACTTACCTGGTAACAACACTGAAATTAAAAATGAAATAAATATAAATTTTTTTTTAAGATATCAAAATCATTGATTTTTATTACGATTTTTTATTATAATTTTGTTACCAGCTGGGCAAACCTTAACTATATAGGCATTTATAACTATTTGTATTAATCTGTATAAAACTTACCTCCTAATACTGTGAAATCGAATATTAAATAAAAATATCAGTTATTATTATAAATATAATATTTTTAATATAACTTAGTTTACCACAGAAGTAAAAACTGTAATAATCAATAATAATTACAGAGTAAATTTCGAAAAAAACGTCAAATACATATCACATAATATAAAATTAAAATTACGAACCGAAATACTTTTACTTACGGAGTTTTTCGTTTCTTCCGTCTACAGAAATAATAAAAAATAACAATGATAGTTATTTTAAAATAAGAAATTAGATACACATTTAGCTTGTCCACTATACTCCGTTGCACGAAAGAAGGAATATGTTTTTTCATCCGCAGCTGCGCATCTCCCACCACATTTGCCGGTGGTTTTACGTGATTTTACGCGTCGCCTAGCAGATTCAGAGAAATTAGGTCTCCATGCTATCGCCAATGCGAGAAATGCGTATCTTCACTCGTGAAACTGAATATAGTTCTAATAAATGGTAAAATCATAACAAGTACAAAATAAGAGTTCACGAAGTGAAAATTAGTATGAGAGTTCTAAATCAAAACATTTTAACGCTCAACCACCACCCATTGTATACAGCTACTCAAGCGGCTCGGTTTAACTTCGATGGTAAAGGACCTAATAAGAATTTGTACCCTGGTGCAGGAGGATTATAACTTGACAGAAATTTAATAATGGAATAATAAACTCCTGTCTCTGAACCAGGAGTCCTGGAAAATCTAAAAAGTTACCTACTAAAGATATCAACTTAACTTAGATAAAGCAAATATTTTAAACAAGGGTAATTAAAATATACACAATATTAGTTCCGTTTTAGACCTTATATTTACTTAATGTTTCAGTGAAATTTACCCATATGTATTTCTTATTAGTTATTATTAATCTATGTAAGACTTACATGGCACTGAAAAACATTAAAAATTAAAAAAACAACAGTTATTAAATTATTATTGTCATCGGTTATTTTATACAAATTGTTAAAAAGATTATTAAACTATTATTGTGAAAATCACTCTTCTCTAGAGCTTTGGATAGAAGGCCGAGAGAACGGAGTCCAGCCAGTTCGTATAAAGTACTTGGACGTATTGGACGACTCGTTTGTGTTTAATTATTTTCGGTATAAACACGTATATACGAGGCTACTTAGCGTTCTGTAGTTTTTACTGGGTAAATTTACATCCAAATACTCAACTACGAGCAATAGCTTAAGTATAGAACTACCAAGTGTTGAGATAAGGGAATTGGTGTTAGAAAGCTGCGGGCCACAAGGTTTCCTTGAACGTCCGATCAGGAAAGTCAGCTACTGAGTAGAGTTGATAATGTTAAAATATTAATAACTTTCTCCGAAAGTCATTTTTCGATTTTTTAATGGGTATTTGAAATAATTTAGAAAAACTCGAAAACGGCAAATTTTTACGGTACGTCACGGCGTTATCGGTTTCATTATTTATATTATGTTCACACGATGTTTTCCACTAAATATTTAGCTCCAATATGAAAATTACAAGAGATAGAATGTGTTTCTTTCAATACGTAGCCAATATTCTGTTAAAAAAAGTATTTTTTTATTTTTTAAAGTAGTTTTTATAATAATTAAAAAATACAAAAAAAAAAAAACGAAAAAACAAGTTTTTCAAATTACGACACAATGATCTTATCATCCTCCTTTTTTTTTTTCATGGTTGGTAACCAAGAATGTCGTTTTTGATTTTCTTTGCAGAAAAATACCTAGAAAGAATAGGAACATTTACGACAATAATGCTTCCATTGTTTTGAATTTTTTTTTTTTTTGTAATATAAATCAGTTAAAAATATTCCTAAAGATTTAAAATTTTGATAGACATGTATTTATACTTTTTCCAGATGTAATAAAACTTTCGAAACATTTGAGCTATTTATGGAAACTTTACTTTTACGAGATTTTTATTTGGTTACTACTGTGTAGATACACTCTTAGACTTATCAAAATTATTAGGTTTATTTTAAGACGTAACTACTCACCAAAAAAAAAGTGTCTTAGGATAATGGGGACGGGTGTAGCCACTATTGTTGTTGAGATAATGGAAAGGTAGGATGTAAAGGAGAAATTAATTTATACCTGTAAGCAACGATAAACCATTGTTTACTAAAAACGATTCTGAGTGGAGTTCAGACGATAGTGATGCTTTGTCAACAGTAAATATGTCATATTATGATAAAATAATAAAATAGATACTATGTATTTTCTTTAATAATGTTTGTTTAATGATAACTGAAATAGCCGTGACAAAAGCGTAGGAATAATCCGGATTTTGGATAGTTCGAAAATCCGAATTCTTGGATTTTTATCTGGACAGAATTAATTTGATCAGAATGAGTATTATTTGCATTCACAACAGTAATGTATACATTTTCGTAATCAGAGGAGTGACTTTGATAACATATAAAAAGTTATAATTTTAAATAACCAGAATAGATCAAAGATTGCAATTTTCACTAACAACTTTAGTTCCTTTTTTTTTTTTATATAAGACTGACGAAAATCCTAAATATAACGGCCTTTCAAAATATTTATAATCGAACCTTGCACCGAAACGTTTTTCGTTAACAATGGTAAATCTTTAATTATAGGTATGATTATATGCATACCACTTTTCCTACAACCCACCTACAACAGAAGCCGCAACCGGTACGTTTCAAATAAGCTAATAATAATTAATTTTAAAATGTATATTGACATAAAACTCGTAAAATTTAAATAGCTATAAGTATATCATAGACTGAATGATTTAAAATTACTTCTAGAAAGTACTATATAAACCGGATATAATTATTTTATCAATATTCTAGTGTTCAATTACAATAAATTTTCACTTGATAAGAACGAAAAAAAGATGGGTTATATATCTGGGTCTAAAATAGTGTGTATTTTGATTAATAATTATGTGTACCGATATTTTTAACAAGTATATTATTTTTAATTACGTAAATGACAGAAATTTTAATTTCAACTCAAAGATATTTTAATTTGTTTAATCTCAATAAAAAAATGTAAAGAAATAACTACTTTATAGTAATCAATGGTATATAAATATCATAAACATTAATCATGGTCCAATTGATTTCATATTCAAATGTATCTATTAAATGTTCCCAGTCGTTGCGATTTTCACAATAATTAGAAGTTATTTAATGTTAAGATAAAGTGAATCAATGCCATCAATATCGGAATATAATGCTGATTTTGCATATTCATTTAAAATACTTACTTCTGTTCAATATGCTTATGTTACCTATTAAGTATAAATAAAGAACTAATTCAAATAATGATAATAATATATTTGTTAAATTGTAAGGTTTAATTGGAATGGTTGAAAATAATATTTAATTGTTTTGTTTTAGTACATACGCTCTTTAAGACCTGCTTTAATTTCTGCATCCGTTGTACCTTAAAAATAATTTCAAGGATGATTATTATTATTCTTTATTATTATTTTTAACGACACGAAGGGCAATGTAAACAATTTTTTTAATGACAAAATGAAAAATATAATCACACATACACAGTAATAACAAAGTTTACATTACAAGGAGGTTAAAATTCGTATTCATAGGTAGGTAGTATATTGTTATCAAGGTGATGTCCTTAGAAAGTTTCAACTTCCAAATCCCATCGCCATGGTTTTGCATTAAAAAAAAACCCATTCTTTGATTGTGAAAAGCCCGATGATTCTAAATTACCAATGATGCTTGATTTACCGACATTGACCTTAACATATATAATTAAAGTCACTTCAATGGAATCTAGACGATAAATACAAGTATTCATAATCAAAGAGTAAGGTTAAGTATCATTGCTATTCTAAGTGTAAACACCGCGAATCATATAAACCGTGATCTTATGCTGGTATATATTTATTGCTTATAATATTTTTCGTGAACATTTCTAATTAAATACTGACCTTGAATCCCAATTCTTCTAAACGCCGCTGTTAAGATAATAATAAAATAATTAAGATATTTAAAATCATCATACAATTAACAAATATAATAAGTAAATAAAAGACGCGTGCACAAATAAATAATGATATATTATTATACATAAATACTATGTTTAATGAATTATGACACTGATATTATAAAAAAACACAATTTATATGTAGAAAATGGGCAGTTAATTACTTGTCGTATACGTGTGCAAAGTAACTGATTATAAAAATGTATTCTATAAAACACTAGTTATGATTATTTAATAATTTACGAAATTTGGTAATACAACTGAAATAATATGAAAAACATAAGTAAAACTTTTAGATTGTAGTCTTAGGAAGTGATAGAGTAGTCGATAGATCGATAAGTTCTAGTCAATAATTGATTGAGTAATCTTTTGATAAATTCAAATTAAATGATACCTAAATTCACGATGGTAAAATTATATAAGTGTGCAAATATAAAGAAAATTATTTTTTTTTTTAAATTACTCGTAGGGTAGCATAGCTATTAGTTTTAAATTCTTATACAAATTACGTGCCCAAATCGTTATACACCTCATAATGACACATATTATAATGACGACACAAACGAATTTGGTTCGATCAAATAGCCTGAGACACGAGAATAGATGTTTTTTTATATAAATATTACTTTTTTCTTTTGTTTACACGTTTAGTCTCGTTCAACCAGTTCAATTTATTTAGGGGCTCATATACTCATATACTTACAGACATATGGGAATTCAGTTGACAAGCTGAAGTTAGACAGTTCTATAAGCTCTCTCTGATTAACCTGAGTTTATAATAAGGAAATTCGACCAATAAAGTTTTGTTTTTTTTTTCTATTATAATCGTTTGCAAATCAATTTTTGAGATAAATACAGTATTTCAAACTATTTATATTTTCAAACTTTACTCAGAATTGTATTTCGTTAGCAGAGGTTTATTTTTTCTTACAGACACGGACAAATCCTCAACATCAGCTTTTTTTAAATTAATTAATTTTTTTGTTATGCTATAAATTGGTTAGAATATCTCCCGATATCCTGGTTGAATAATATTATTATCAATTAAATAAAATCTCATTAACTTGCACAACTATAAACATGTCTGTATTAATTATATTATTTTTTCATTAAATTGAGCATAAATATTACGAATAATTATAATTAATATCTAATAATTTATTTTATAATATTGATGTACTATATTGTATCTATTAGGAATTGATTAGGTTAGATAAAAATTACCTTTTGGTGCTAAGGTCAAAAAAAAATAATTAAATGTTTATAATATAACAGCAAATTGTATAATATTATTCATTAACACATTTAGTTATAAATTGTAGCACAGTTAATATTTTATATAAATAGATCAAATTGATATTTTGCATTTCTAATAATTGTACTATTAATGAACCATTTATCGTATATTAAAACTATGTAGGTGTTTAAGTAGTTAAATTATTAAAAGTTATAAGGAATTTTGAATAAGTATGTGCCAAGACACAACACGTAAAAGCCGCATCTTATAAGTCATGGCATTAAAAAATCAGAGCATGATTTTAACAATCTATAAATTTTCTTCCCCATATAATCTTACGTGCTTTTTCTTCAAACGAAAATGTATAAAACTGTTGATTTTTGTATAAATTCATAATATGTATCAATCAAATGTCACGGTAATCGTTGGATATTATGGATTCTATTACGGAGTTTATTATTTGACGTGTCATCCAACGAGGTCAATTGACGAAACTTCGAAATGAACAACTCGCTACATATATTTATCTTATGGAATAATAACGAACAAAATAAAATATGATGAAGCTATAATAACAAATCTGGAATTCAGCAAGATTTTTCTAATTAAAATGAGTTAATAATTTCGTGATAAATACTAATTTTTGATTTTATTTAGGCACGTTATGACAGGTTTCTTTATATAAGATCTAGTTATCAAAAAGCTATCAAATTCAAGGACCCAAAAAACCAACTAGAATACGTTTTAAAGCATTAAAGTAAAACCTTTACATCTTTTTTGCTACGCAATGTAATATTAGTATTAATTTTAAAAGTTGCATAAAATATTTAAAATTCACTTACTTTCATCTGTTACAAAGGTTAAAAATAATTAATATTTTTAAACATCACAAGTATGTATGTTATAAGTTTTAATTCTATTGTAGTTACATATTCAGTACTTATTTAATCTAAAATCATGTTTCATATCATTACTTAAAATTTTTCTTAATTTATTTATTATTAGTGATTTGTACAAGAAAATAATTGATTAAAAATTAAATCCATATGGACGTTGATGGGTATATTCAACTTACGAAAATAGTATTTTCAATAATTTTCTGTTACATCATCAATAAATGGTACAAAATTAATTCGTTTTTTTTGGTTCGGGATAAGCTTCCAAATAGTTGAATGGATTTCGATTCTGTTTACACTATTGGATCAGTCGAGTCTTGGAGAAGGTTTATAGCTACTTATATACATCTACTATTAAAACCATCGCCCAAAGTTCGGCTTTTAGGTAATTATTATTAATAATTTTTATTAATTTATTATTATTTTTATTATTATTTATTTATTTATTTATTTATTTATTTTTTTATTTAGATTATCATAGAAATTCTTGAATAACAATTTTAAATGTTGCTAAATACGTATCTATGGTATCTATGGTAATTAATATTAATACAAATAATTATGAACACCTACGTGCCATATTATTCAATTAAATTGTAAACTGTCTCTAATGTAGGACGCAACACGTCAAATGCTAAAAGAATAGGCTTAGTACATAGTATGTAATAAAACTTCGGACGATCGAGACTATAGGCTTTTGTGTTTACCCAGAAGTATATCACATTTATATTAAGACGATGAGTTGGTTTTAGAAAAGAGGAACATTGGTATCAATTAACGAGCAAGTCAATAAAATAAATAACATGGTAATATTATGATTCAATTCACCACAACAAATTTACTATTCAATTGATACTGTTAGTTATAGAGAGAAAGTGCTATATTATTCGACTGAATTTTTAAATTCGCCCTTCACGGACTCCACCGCATAAATTAGTTCTTAATGTAGGTTTTTTTATAATATTGCTCCGGAACTTATGTCCACCAAAATTATGCATTGCACTAGATTACAAATAAAGCATTTAATAAACTATTTGCTTGAGTATACAATTCTCACTGGTTGTGTAGCTGGGGAAACGGTCTTAGTTCCTAGAATAATAATGATACCAACCAATCTACTATTCAAGTCTGAACGGCTCTAATTTCCCGTTTCTCAATCGCCATAAATAAGGCACAAGGTCAAACATTAAATGTGGCAGGTTTAAAACTAACAGTTTAATATTTTTCTCATGATCAATTCTAAATATTCTTGAATATCATCGTATTAAAATATAAACTGCATATATCCCGAAAGTGTAAATTAAATACATCGTAATCTGTGTCAGAAAATGTTTGAAGGTTTTTTTGAAATATTTATGTAACGTTGATTATAAATGTTGTTGGAAGATTAAAGTAACCTGGCTTAACATCGCATTGAACATTAGTAATGTGGGTTATTAGCAATATTGCAGAAACATTATAGTAATCTAATTGGCAACTCAATAGATGTAATATAGCATATTTCCGTTAAACATTTCTGCAACTTCAATGAATTAGAATAGTAAACGGCGAGTTGCTTCATTGAGTATATCAATTGTATACAAATCTTTTAACATAAATTATATATTAGGTATGTATTATATACACCTTATATTGAAAATCGAGATTTTTATTTTCTAAAATAATGAAAATTAAGATATTATGGTACTTACTAGGATTGGATTCACAATGTCCAGTATGGGCGATGACAGAAATAACTATGCACAAGATAATTATCAAACGTTGCATTTTAATTATCAATTCTTTACTCGATATTCAAATAGAAAAACCTAAAAGTCGAACAATGAAAATAATAATTTTTGTAATTTGCAGTTTTATACTGCTCCTATTTTATATAAAAAAAACACTAGAAGATATAGGTAAATAATATATTGTTTANTTTAGGGGTGATTTCTAGCAAATTTTATCAAGTTAATAAGTAACTATTTATTTATTATTTTTTCTGTTGAAAAATAAGCATTTTATGTTGTTTACACTTTGAGTTAATATTATAATATATTATTATAATCGGTTATCATATTACATGATCGGTGGGAATTTTTCTTCAGTTTGTTTTTAATAAAACAATCTTATTATATACAAACATTACAATTCAGAGTATATGCAGTTTGTCCCACCGTGGTTCTTGTGTTGTTAATATTAAATTTTATTCCATTTTTTTTCAATCGGTTTGTCTTCGAGGGGGACAATGATTTGGAGAAAAATCAAGTTTTTATTTTTATTAAAGTAATTTCCCCTGCTGAACATAAAAAAAAAAAAAATAACTTTCTTTATTCACATAGGTAATAAGCAAAGGCGGATGTGTAGGTATAGTGTTAACTGTTAGATACTAGATAAGATTAAACTTATACTAGTGCAGTATTCGTCTGATGTAGGTATCCTGAAAGTCTGTTGACTATTCTATTATAGGACATTTACACATGTGAATAATGATGCAAATTTATGGCAACAAAAGTTTTAATAAAGGTTATCGATTTTTCAATTTTCTTTTACTATCAGATATTTTGCTCCGAATAGAAGTGTAGCATTTGTTTTAAAGAAAATTACATTTAGTTGATGCTTTGAGAGCAGAGGTGTTTTTATAGGTGTGGGCAATTGGGATATTTGTCCCAAAAATTATAATAAATCTTATTTTTAAGGTTTAACTTTTCATTTTTTACTAAATTATCATTAACAATTTACATTACGCTCACCATAACTAATATGTCATAACTCATAAGTTATTAATTATAACTAATGGTTAATAAAATATTAAGTAATGAATAATAACTAGCTATTATTATAATATTATTATATTCTCTAGATATTATTAATATTTATTATAGATTTTTTTATTTATTAAATATTAATTATGTTTTAAAACGTATTATTAAAGTCACAACGTGTACCAGTTATATATATATATATATATATATATATATAGTATAGCTACTTTTTGTTTCAACTCAATAACACGAAAATATGATTTACTGTAAAATAAAATTGCTGTACATACACTCTCCAAAAAAATCATAATAATTATTAAATAAAACCATTTGTCATCATCATCATCATCATCTATAATAAAACGAATCTTACGAAAACGCTATACAAGTTATGAATCAATTTCTATAGTCATAATAACAATTCGTATAGATTGCAGGATTGTAGCCCTTCTCTGTTTTTTTCTATCATCTGATTTTTTGAATTGTGAGTGGAGTGAGGAAGTTTTATTTTTGATTTTATTTTTTATTTGTGAACAACTTTTGTACAAGTAATCTTGCTTGATTTCCATGTGTTATATTTTTTCTAAAAGGAAATTTTATCTGGGTAATAGCTGGTACTTTAGAAAGGTCATTTTTGATTTTCCCAGGAGTTTTCTCAATAAATGGAAAAATCCAAGAAATGCGGAGAATAAATGGAAAAATTTAGAAAATTTATTATTTTCAAATCGTAAATATTACGGCCTTAGTTTTTTTTTTTTTTAGTTTGTGAATATACGAGACTCCTTGGTTTTGAAGACTGTTTCTGTTTTCATCTACTACTAATAATAAAACGGTTTAAGCATACAACAAAAATGTTCAAAAGATTACTACAATAATATTATAATATGTATATTAAATTAGTTAGATTAGATAGATACCTTACACAATACTAATATATAATATTTTATAGTAATAAATCGCTTTCAGGCCTAAAATTAAAAATATAGTAATAATAACACCAAAATGTATGGTATAGTTACTATACTATTGTAATTTAACGGAATTTTTCCTACATACAAGGTCAACCCCCGGAGGTCCGAAATAATTACGTCCTTATACGCGGTGTCACGTGTCATCAAAATTGTCTGCACGAGGATATCACTGACTGCTTTTGGTAATGATATCAACATATTTTCGAAATTGAAACATACTTACGCGTGTTTCGGATGTTGACGAGTATATATAGTATATAATACATCGTAGTTTGTAGTATAGTCTCCATACAACAAGAAAAAAAAAAGTACAAATATTATCGCGTTCTCCGCAATCTGGAGTTGTGTACACACTGCCGCCGAGAGAAATACCTGTGCATTCATTTTTCTTCAAACAGGATTTTTTTTCATTTTTCCTTCTCTCAAGGGAGAGGAGGACCTATACGAATATATTTTTTTTTCCACGGCAAAGTTACACATTATTTTTAACCCCGTTTTTTAAGAAAAAAAAACATAATATATAATATAAAACATTTCCATTAAAAAGGACATTTTTTTTTATACTTCGTATATAATGAATATGCCAACGTTTAAATAACTCTTAGTTGAAAGTTTTGATACGAGTATTTTCATATTTTCGTTGTGAATTGTCACCAAGAAGTATATTTATTGTGTATAGATATTAGATAAACTATAAATGCCTGTAAACTTCCTACCAATATGAATAAGAACAATAATTAATATAAAAACAATATTGTCTATATGGTGTTAAGATAAGAAAGCATTTTGTTTAGATTCGAAGCGGAATAAAAATTCACCGAAAGTTTTTGATTCTTAGCAAAACGCGTGCCTCACATACTGGCTGCTATTGGCACTGTTATTTAGATTCGGAGCGTAGAGAGGTCTGTTGGTTATACTATGATGTGAGATTTTTTACTGTTTGTAAACAAGTTTTTGAATAGACAACTTGCTAAAATTTTCTCCGATGCATAAAGTGTAGCATCTATTCTGAATAGAAATTTGAACTACTTTATGAATTAGAAAGGTATATTTTAAATTTTTGCAAACTATGTTTTAATAGAAAAACAATAAAAACCATTTTTTTTAATTTTTGGATCCCACAAAAAAGGAAGTTTTCAAGTAGTTTTCAAAATAATTGGGAAACTGGAAAAAGACGGAAAAAGAAAAACTAATAAATTTACAGCGTACGATTTCATTATTGTAAATTTGTATGCATTATGATTTTTACTAGAATTATCGCACCATTAGAAAAATTACAAGAGACTTTTTTTGTTTCATTTCTAACCTACAGTAAATGATGAATAAGGATCTTCGGTATGTTTGGCCCGTTCAAACTGAATCCAATCGAACGAGTTCACGTAATGTTCACTTATTGTCTGTTCAGATGTTTTCAGTAGTCATGGAACAACATTTTGAAGCCACAAAACTGTTCCACTCTAGCCATATGTTGAGCACTTCGTATTTAGTAGCAATACGATATTTGCCAAACTTTTCTTCAATAACCATTGCTAGAAGATTAGCTACATCTTCACGTCCTTGGGCCACTGATGGTATAGATACCAGAACACAGTCACCTACTTTTAAAGAAAGAGGGAGTATGCCGTTACATCTAGTTACTATTCTGTCCGCTTGGAGCTTTTAATTGTGAGCTGCTAGTTTACACAGTGATGGAGCAGGATTATCGGGAACTATACTTAACTCTACGTCTGTATTACATTCAGTACTCCACACACATTATATATCAATACCATGACAGCGTATTAGTCTACGGGTAGTATTTTTGATTATTATCTTGTACTTACTTCGTCAGTGCAGCCATTCATCTTCTTAATAAGTTTTTCGAGTGAACACGCAACATTATTAACTTCCATAAGTAGCTCTGTTACTCCTGATGTTTCTTCAAAGTTAATGGACATTTGTATATTCTCTCCATCTATTGCTTAATAATATTTTAGAATATATAATTTGAAACATTAATTAAAAACGATCGTGTGGCACGGCGCGTGCTCAGAGCACATCATCCAGATAACATTGTTAATTGATTTAGGCGTGGATCCACAGGGGGGGGGAGGAGAGATAGGGACGATTGCCTATCTAATAATTTCGTCTATTTTTTCTCATGATAGAATTATTAATATTTGTTAATATTTGAATTGCTTCTTTTTCTTTTTGATGTGAATCCATGATTAATTGATAATATTTATAAATAAGTGTACTTATAAGTATTCGTATATATAATATAAATAAATATTTGAACACACTGTTCACCGCGTAAAATGAATGAACCAAATAAACATTGAATGTTGAACAATATGTAATATAGATCGTAGGTAAGTATACGGTTTTATTTAGGCTGTGGCGGGAAATATCGGTATCATCAATAAGATAAAATATTTTATTTTAAGTTACACGAGGAACTGTATTATTATGGTTATACACGGTTAAAGTAAATATTAAATTATGCGGAAAATACTACTTATATGATTGTCGAAATAGTTTTAAATGTTGGTCATTCAATGCCCATATTAATAATGTAACAACGGAAAATGTATTGCTGAATTCATGTATTCGGCAGACCAAAAAGGTGCTTAATTCATACAATCGGCAAAATAATTCTGCTGATTTCGTGAAATCAGTAGACAAGTCGCCAATTTCACGTATTAGGTAACGGCGTTGCTTATTTCAGGAAATAGGCAATTTTTCTGCCGACTTCACGAAATCGACATAACAGTTATACGAATATAAGCTAGCGAAGCGAACGGAAAATCTTCAGAAAAGCTAGCCTGATTCAAATGTTTGCATCTCTATTGAAAAACCGAAATGACACCCCCGTGCCATATTTTAACCTCTCGATAAACTGAAATTACCCCCATGTCACTGTTAATCCCTCAATTGACTATGCCCCTGTGCCCTTTTACTATGGGTACCCTTGGATACACCCTATCCATAACAAGTATTAAAATAACATTATACCTAATTGAATTCGGTTATCCCGTATAATAGATTATCGTAATAATTATTTATTTTTAAAAGCAATTACTTATACGTGAAATAATGGTCTTTCAGTTAATTTGTAAGTATATAACTATATTACCTGCAGTGTACAATAATTATTATAATATTATTAGATAAATCATTTTTTTTTCTCAAAAAAATACTCTTAAAAGGTTTCTGATGCGTACTTATATTTTTTTTTTTTACAGGTGCACATGGTTTTTCACGTTTAAATCGAATTAATTATATTTTATTTAAAAAAGCACTTACAGCACTTAGGCTTTTCAACTATTATATTACGATTATACAGATTTTCGTACCACTCTATACACTATTAATCGGGTCACAATCATAATTGTATGTAAAACGATGACTCGGGCAACTCTAATTATTACTTGACTGGTGTTTTTTTTTACTAAATAATATCATTAATAATATCTATTATATGTTAAACACAGACATAAGTAACACAAATTGTTTTCTTTTTTTGTTTTTTTTTTTTTTTTATTTGTCGAGATGTGTTTTAAAATTTTAGGACTTTTTGCTCAATGGTACATTATTTAAAAATACGTCCTAGGATAATGGGGCCGAATGCAGCCAGTGTTTTAGGTAATTTAATGTTTATCTGTAAGCAACGATAAATTATTGCTTACGAAAAAACGATTCAGAACGCAGTTCAGTTGATAGTGATGCTTTGACAACAATATAAATGTCATATTATGGTAAAATAATTATATAGCCATAATATTTTTTTTTTTTTTAATAATATTTGTTTCAAATTCTACAGTTTTTCCCATTTTTTTCCCGGTTTTTCAAATTTCACTGAGAAAACTCTTAAGAAAATCAAAAAATGACCTCCTTAATGTACCTCTCCAGTCAGATTTTTTTTTAGAAAAAGTATTATTATTGTAAATTGGAGCAAAATTTCTGATAAAAAAGTTGTCTACAGAAAAAGAAATCGTTATATTTTACTAATGTATTTTGTACATTTTCCGGTTTTTTCTCTGTATTTATTGGGATTTAAATATTTCCATTTATTGGGGAAATTCCTAGAAAAATCAAAAAATTATCAGTCCAAGTTACCATGGAGATAAAATTTCCTTTCAGAAAATACGGTATTCTTGAGACATTGTTGTAATATTTTTGGTAGAAAAGTTAGAAAAAAAATAAATACGATATTTTTTTTAATACTGTGCCACCATTGTCCACAAACATGGTAATAATGTTTGTTACTGGCTATAATCAGATCACTTGAAATTCAAAAAATATTAATGTAAGTACAATTTATTAATTAATATTATTTTTACTTTATTATTTTATTATTTATTATGGTAGGTAAAGCCTATGGTCCAACTCAATTAATAAACAGGATTTAATATTTAAACATGAAATTAATGAATACCAATATAAATATCTACTTCACAAAAAATCCCCCTTATTTTGAAAATACTGGTATATACTTATATAAACTTAAATATAACTGTAATGAATTGTATATATAGGTTAGACCAATAGAAGTTTTACAAGATAAAGAACACATGAACACATTTTTGAAATTAAATTAAATACAACTGCTCCTAATTCTAATTTCGCTAGACAAGTTTTAGAAAATAACCATAATATAAGTTTTGATATCAATACAGAATTAGAAATATTAAATACCCAAAATAACATTTAGATTAATTCAGTTTTAGAAGAATTACATACATACAATGAAATAAAGAAAAATAATTTTAATAATATTTTAGATGCACAAACCGATTTTAAAAATAATATCTTATATTATTACATTTGAGGTTATAAATAATATCCATATGATTTATATTTCTCAACATATTTATGTCTAATAATAACCAATTTTAAATAATTTGTTAATAATAATGTTGTTATTCGGTTAAAGTTAAAAACCTGTAGTTTTTACAAAATACTTATATTTTTCTTTTGTAGACTTAGTAAATTTTTTAAAATATTCTAACTATTTTTAGGATATTTATAGGTGTTTGAAATATTTGTGTTTTTATATATATTTTTATGTGGTAAGTAATTTTATTTTTATATTTTGATTGTAGAATGCTTTATCTTTGCATACAGGTATAAATTAAATAACTTTATAATATAAATTTAGAACTTATTATGTCCCACGTTCTCAACTTCCTACCTACAACAGTGGCCATGCCCAGTATCAGCTCTATTTTTATACTGATTAATGTCAGGCGGCAGTTTTATAAGTAATAATATACCACTGATGCATCCTGTGGATTCACGATAAATCTACAGTTATTAGGAATTTCCTCAAGTTTTTAATTTTTTAATGCGGCAAATCGTCCCATCAAGTTGTATAATTAAACGTTTAAGAGGTTTCAGTATGGTTTTTGATTTTATTTATAAGAACGTGAAAAATCAATAACGCACAATTTGATCCCGATCTTTGAGCCCTCATCTCGAACAATAAAAAAAAAGGGAGTCGTCTCGGTTCCTCTTATAATAAAAACCGAGGAAAATATCATGTAAAATAATGCCATGAAGGAAAATGAAATTTTCAGAAATCCCTGAAACCGAAAATGTACTCGTTCTTTTCAATCACCATACAAAAAGATTTCGCGAAAATCGTATACATTTATTATTATTATAATTATTTTTTTTTATATTATATATAATATATTTATTAAATTGAATGGGCAATTGTCCTTATATTTTATACATACATATATATATATCGCAGAGTACTACACAATAAAAAGGATTCGTGCAGATAAAAGACCAATATATAAATCCATATTTTGTTGAAATTGAATTACGTTACCGTTAAATTGAACATTTAAATAATACTTTTGGTTGAGGGTTACAAGAGATTTACATATGTCGTATGTGTCCGAGGCTGTAATTCAGTACATTTTTAATAAATGAAAATTACACGTTTTTATGTGATAATATGGGTTTCGACCAATTTATACTGACCGCTAATTATACACAACGCGGTATTAAATACAATTTTATCAGCTACATTATTTTGCAGTATAGTTTCTCTGCGTGCTTCTTATACGTATTAGCCATTAGAGCCCTCGCGAACTATCAACTTCTAATCAAATTGTTGAAACCGGATCTGTTGTGTACCACATATTATGACTAAAAATTTAACTGATCATAATTTGTACATATTCATTTCAAAATGATTAAAGTATAAGTTAGTAAAATATTAGAAAATAATTAATTTAAAAATAATATACAAAATACAAAATGGCTGTATTCGATCCATTTAAAACATATATATAAGTATTTATTAATTCGTTTTCCTTACTGCTACCACTGTTCTTTTTTATACCACCAGTACGTGATACATACCACGTACCACAATTTGAAAACTGTTGTCTTAAAAGATAAAAAGTTTGACGATTCTCACCCACTTACCATTAAACGACGTCTGCTTGTTGAGGATAGTTGAAAATGAACTTTCTAATATAAACGCTGCACTTTATCTTTTTTTTTTATAATTTGTGTTTGTATAACCATAACCTTACCTAATTGTGTCGACCGTGAATTAAATTTGAACTAATGCTGATAAAGGACTCACGTTCGGATTTTCGTATTTGATGAGAATACTCTTGAGAAAATCGAAAAATGATGCTCTTAAAGTATCTCCGCACACCAATTTTCTTTCAGAAAAAGTGCTGCACGTAGAAATTTGAACAAGTTTTCTGGTAGAAAAAAGGGTTTTAACAAATAGAAAAAAAAAAAAAAGTTCACATCGTTATTGTAAAACTTACAATTCTTCGCTCCACTCAAAATCTAAAATACAGTCCACAATGAACGAAAATATTCAATTTCTTTAACATCTTATATTAAAATCAACATTTTAATCTTCTAAATTAAAATAAAAATAAGGTGTAATTATTAAAGTAACGAAATTAATGTTTTAGGAACTAAACAATGCCCGGTATGGACGATGGCTCTAATAAAACATACGTGACACCAACCCACCCCATATCGAAATTTGGTATTTTCTGTTATGTAATCTTTAGTAAGTCATATAGATGCATTTGTATCCCTGACATTTATATTCCACTTGAAATTTAGTTATAACAAAACTGGCTGTGGTGGCGAAATGCCAGCCCGCCCACCATTCAAAATTAAAATTTTCACTATTCATTTGTACGTCATTTGTATCATACAATTCAACCATTAATTTTCAAAACTACTCTTGAGCGGTTAGGCGATTAATATAACATCGTATTAATATTTATTTGTAATAAACTATCAACAACATTTCAGTAATTTTAATCAGTGATACATAAAATATTAAAATATTATTAATCTGTAAAAATCCAGGAATATCACATTAACATTGACATTGTAATTTTTTTTTTTATATAACCCATATACAACGTTACAGGGAGTGGGTACATTGTGAGTTACATCATTGTATAGTGGATTACCTACTTTTCATTCACTTATGTAAATAAACAAATCAACTGCAATCTTTGTAGTCCATATTTTATGAGTGTATAGTATATACATTATGAATACTGCTTTGAATAAACAACATATTTGTTCTAGTTTTTTATCTTACATAAAACTGCAAAATACAAAATTGTATTTCCATAATTTGAATTTTTAAGTTTTTTGGGGTTTGATTGGGAAGAGTCGATGATTAGAATGCAACGTTTAATATCTATTATGTTTATAGTTCTTCCTGCCACCGCCCGTACAAGATATGATGTAGGTCCTAAAGCATTAACTCGTCGCTTCAGTAATAATACCCTATTTTTATTTATTTTTTAAAAATAAAATGTTGATTTTAGATTCTGAGTGGAGCGAAGAAGCTCATGGTTTTACAAATATGTTACGGACTCTGTCTTTCACTTGTTTAAGTTTGTTAAATATAAATTGATAATTCTACGCGACTGAATATGAAATCGGTCGTCGCATTAAGTGTACGCACGTAAAAGCCATTAATACGGATGTGGTAAACCGACGACGTGCCCGTGCAACAACTGATGATACGTGTTAATGAGCCAAAGGGAAAACGCGTCCGGGTACGGACTATGTGCCACCAGCAGACAACGACGGCAGCGTCCACCACCACCTTAGCCCCGATCGAGACGACAAACATATAAAAGGAGACCGTGATCACCACTAAGGGAGTTCAGTCAGCTCAGGAAAAACGGAGGGATAAATGTTCTATCACTGCGGCACGAAAGGAGGAGCAGAACGACGCCAACCTGTTCAGTCATTTCTATAGTGTACTTATAACTGGTAAATTTAACTAAGTCTTGACCCGGGTTTTTTTTTGTTCTGCAGACAAATTTTCTACCAGAGATCTTGCTCCGATTTTTACGTGTAACACCTTTTCTGAAAAAAAATCGGTGTGGGTGGGGGGTTAATTTAAGGAGATCATTTTTCGGTTTTCTCAAGAGTTTTCTCATCAAATGTGAAAAACTGAAAAAAAAAAAACGTTAGAAAAACGGGAAAATGTAAGAAATGTAAACCTAATATACCCACTGTGCAATTTAAGCAAACCCGGATTAAGGTTATTTAGGACCTGGGGCCAAACAATTTTAGGGGCCCATAAACATATTCAAAATATTGGTATTTATATAGTACTACCGGCCAAGGCCAGGAGCCCACAACATTCCGACATCCAGGGGCCTGGGACCATGGCCCTATCTGCCCCCCTTAATCGGGGCCTGAATTTAAGTTAAAAAATGTAACCGTTATGTTGTATTTGGATTACATAAAAACATTACCAAGTAATCCCAATTCCCAATACAATATTGTATAAATAATTCGTGAATATATTAAATAAATAAATAATATAAATAATTTTGTTTGTGTGATACCACAAATGCAATAATATTGAATTTATATACTCATCAGTTTCTAAATATACCTTTACCGCATTATTACGAGCCGTTCGTGCTGGTTTTCCCATTTTGAACTTGGGAACGTGAACCCGCGTACCGCGCACTGCAGTTTTAACATAGATCAATTAATCTATCGTTTCAGCGACTGCAGATATCTTAAAATTACACGTAAGTAGCGAATTCTTGGCGCCAGTTAGGTTTTAATAGAACAAAACGATCGGGGGAGGGGGGGGCAACTCCGCGGACGACGTTAGTCTCGAACCTACACGGCAACACACTGATAATATTTAACAATATTTTACATATACCTATATTTTCTACTGTTCGAACCTAACAGTTTATTATCGAATCCGTGCCAACGTATACCCGCAGCTGCATAAACAATAATAATGTATAAATAACAAATAATAAAATGTATAATAATAGCGATATTAAAATTTTCCGAGTAAAGACCCAAACGTTGATGATTGAACGTATTGGATTATACGAGGTTTGGCTATTGAATAACGAGACTGCGCGCAGAAAGCGTCCAAAATTGCACCACCACCACAACGGGTCGACGGCGGTCCGCGACGGTTCGCCTTTCACACAATAAACGATACCATTCGTTTACTAATCACCTCGGATACATAAAATAACATGAACATTAAGAAAAGCCAATAACACATAAATTGTAATGTATTTTTTTTTTTTCTGCGGATAACTCATTTCTACCAGAAATTTTGCTCCAACTTATAACGATAGCTATGTTTCTATAAGGAAATCCGACTGGAGAGATATTACTTTAGAGAGGTAATTTTTCGATTTTCGCAGATTTCCCAGCAAATGTAAAAGACCGGGAAAAAACATGGGAAAACGGTGAAAAACGAAGGTAAACCGGGAAAATCGGTATAAAATGAAACGAATATTATTAAAGATAATATATAAAGTCGATTTAATTATTTTACTACAATATGGCATAAATATTGTTGACAGTGCATCACTATCAACCGAACTCCGCTCAGGATCATTTTTTCGTAAGCAATGGTTTATTGATGCTTACTGATTTTCATTAAAATACTTATAACAGTGGCTGCACCCGTCCTATTTATCCTAGAACGTCTTTTTAATATTAGGTATATATATATATATAAGATTCCAAATATCACTCACTCGCTGATAGCTATTTCTCAAAAATTACACAGCCTACGAACTTGAAATTTGGAACAGAGGTTCGTCTATTAATCTAAATGTGCAATAAGAAACGATTTTTAAAAAAATGTTGTGTTAAAATGGATTAATTAATAATAATTATTATTTTAGGGTTATTTTATTGGATACATTGTATAATCCCTGTGTTATGCGAGTATCTATTGCAACACGCGCATGAAAAAAATTGTACGATACTCAAAACATTTTTAGTCGTTGGACTATCCACTTTCCAGCTATTTTTTTTTTAGTTCACTACACTGGTACGGATAAAGCAATCTGGAAATAAAGGCAAAAAGAATAAAAAATTAGCACGGGCTACACCGGGCGCTGGACAGCTATATATATATATAAGTAATTAATAACGATTAGCATTTATTTGTAATATACCGTTAATAACATTTCAGTAACATTAATAAATGACACATAAAATAGTATTAATCTGTAACAATCCAGGAATATCGCATTAAATTGTAATTTGTTTTTATAAAACCCAAATACAACGTTTCAGCGAGTGGGTACATTGTGAGATACATCATTTTACAGTGGGTTACCTACTTTTCATTCACTTATGTAAATAAATATGTCAACTGCAATCTTTGTAGTACATATATTATGCGTATAAAGTACATACATTATGAATACTGCATTGAATAAACAACATATTATTTACCTATGTCTTTTAGTTTTGATACTAACTGTAAAACTTGCAAATATAAAACTGCAAAACACAATTATTTTTTTTTCATAATTCGAACTTTTAAGTTTTCCTGAGTGACTATTTAGTAAAAAGTCAACAATTAAAATGCAACGTTTGATAATTATCGTGTTTATAGTTTTTTCTGTCATCGCCCATACCGGACATACTGCACGCGATACATCTACTAAAAACGGAAAACCTAGTTTAATTCCGAAATCAATAAGTCGCCGTTTAAGTAATTATATCTTAGTTTTAATTATTTTAAAAAACAAAAATGATGATTTTTACATGTACATAATATGTACCTAATATACAATATATACTATTATATTAATATAATATGATTAATGTACCCAATGTAGCAAACCCACTGTGTACTATTCTATTTCGTGGAAGTTGCGGAAATGTTTAACGGAAATATGCTATATTACATCAACTGAATCACCAATTAGGTTACTGTAATGTTTCTGAAATATCGCTAATGTTCCTAACTTTTAATGCGATGTTTAAGCTAAGCTACTTTATTAATCTTCCAACAATATTTAATATCGAAGTTACATAAATATTTCAAAATAATATCTTCTAACTTTTTCTGACGCAGATTACAATGTATTTAATTTACATATAAGGACATATGCAGTTTATATTTAAGTACTATAATATGCAAGGCGATTTATCCTTGATAAGGACACTATTATTGTATCGAAATATATAAACTATTATCGAAATACTTTTTTTGGACAGTTTACAAATAAAGCAGTTCAAAAATATTACATTTCAGTTATTATTTGTCACCCGAAATGCATCTTAAATTATATAACATCTTTTTGTGGAATTTTTAATAAGTGGGTTAGTAGCTAAAAGTTTTAAAAAACAAGGATGATAACAAAAAACGATAATGTAAGATTTTAGAGTTGTTAGATTTATAAATTTCCAAAAAAACATTACTAGTAATAATTATAACTTTCTGAAAATATAAATACTTTCTGAGATAATGAGTGCTTTTTGAGGGTTGATCATCTATATAATAAAATATATATATAATTAATAGCGTTTCGGAGATTATACCCAAAAAAAATACTACATTTTATACAATGTATTAATGAAGCAAGCTCTAGACAGTTATTGAAAATCCTATATTCTGTAGGTAAAATATACCCGAATTCGGTTTTAATTTTGAATTTAATTTTTTTCATGCAAAAATTACTAATATTAAATCAATATATAAGTATAACTTTTTTTATATAGTAATATGGATTATGATTCTAGATAGGTTAAATAGATTAAATAGGTTAAATTAAATACTTGCTGAATATGTAACTAAAGTATAATTAAAATGTATTAAATAAATTTCGGTGATATTTAAAAATATTATTTATTTTTAGGCTTTACAGCGAATGAAAGTAAAAGATTTTTAAATATTTTATGTTTATTTGATGTTTTAAAATGTATTCTAGTTGATTAATTGGGAGGGGCTTAAACTATCAAAAAACTATTGATCTAGAATATAATTCTTTGGACCGAATTGCACGGAAAATAAAACCGAAAATCAGTATTTATCACGAAAGTATTAACTCATTTGAAATAGAAAAATCTTGCTGAATTCCAGATTTGTTATTATAGCTTTATCATATTTTATTTTGTTCGTTATAATTCCATAAGATAAATATATGTAACGAGTTGTTCATTTCGAAGTTTCGTCAATTGACCTCGTTGGATGACACGTCAAATAATAAACTCTGTAATAATATCCATATTATCCAATGATTACAGTGACAATTGATTGATACATATTATGAATTTATACTAAAGTCAACAGTTTTATACATTTTCGTTTGAAGAAAAAGCATGTAAGATTATATTGGCAACAAAATTTATAGTTTGTAAAAATCATGCTCTGATTTTTTAATGCCATGACTTATAAGATGTGGCTTTTACGTGTTGTGCCTTGGCACATAATTATTCAAAATTCCTAATAACTTTTATTAATTTAACTACTTGAATACCTACATAGTTTTAATGTACGCTAAATGGTTCATTAATAATACGGTTATTAGAAATGCAAAATATCAATTTCTATTTATATAAAATATTAATTGTGTTACAATTTATAACTAAATGTGTTAATGAATTAATATTATACAATTTTCTGTTATAATATAAACTATTAATTATTTTTTTTGACCTTAGCACCAAAAGGTAATTTTAATCTAACCTAATCAATTCCTAATAGATACAATAAAGTACATCAATATTATAAAACAAATTATAAAATATTAATTATAATTATTCATAATATTCATGCTCAATTTAAAGAAAAAATGATATAATTAATATAAACGTGTATATAATTGTGCGAGTTAATGAGATTTTATTTAATTGATAATAATATTATTCCGCCAGGATATCGGGAGATATTTTAACCAATTTATTTTTTAACAAAAAAATTAATTAATTTTAAAAAAGCTGATGTTGAGGATTTGTGCGTGTTTGTAAGAAAAAATAAACCTTTGTTAACGAAAGATAATACTGAGTAAAGTTCGAAAATATAAATGTTTTGAAATACTGTAATTTTCATCAAATATAGATCCAAGAACGATTATAAAAAAAAAAAAAACAAAACATTATTGGTCGATTTTTCTTATTATAAACTCAGGTTAATCAGAGAGAGCTTATAGAACTGTCTAACTTCATCTTGTCAACTGACTCCCATATGTCTGTAAGTATAGGAGTATGTGAGCCCCTAAATAAATTGAACTGGTTGGACGAGAGTAAACGTGTGATCACGTAAGACAAAAGTCATATTTATATCAATAACATCTATACTGGTGTCTCAGGCTATTTGATCGAACCATATTCGTTTGTGTCGTCATTATAATATGTGTCATTATGAGGTGTGTAACGATTTGGGCACGTAATTTGTATAAGAATTTAAAACTAATAGCTATGCTACCCTACGAGTAATTTAAAAAAAAATATAATTTTTTTTATATTTGCATACTTATATAATTATACCATCGTGAATTTAGGTAATATTTAATTTAAATTTATCAAAAGATTATGCAACCAATTATTTAATTTTATTATATATTTATATATTTATATATATTTATTTGATATTATTCTATCTAATTCTGATAAACATTTATTGACTAGAGCTGCTTATCGATCTATCGACGGCTCTCTCAATTCCCAAAACTACAAATTAAATAAATACATATTTCAATATTCTTGCTACTCCATAATTGTACTTATGTTTCAGTTCTATTCCCAAGTTTCGTAAATTATTAAACAATCATAACTTGTGTCTTATAGAATTCATCTTTTACAATCAGTTACTTTGCATACGTATACGACAAATAATTCACTTTTTTTCAACATAAAAATAGTGTTTTTTAATGTCAATGTCATAATTCATAAAACATAGTATTTATGTATAATAAAATATCAATATTTATTTATGCACGCGTCTTTGATGTATTTAGTTATTACATTTTTTAATCGTATGACGATTATGATTATCTTAATTATTTTATTGTTATCCTAACAGAGGCGTTTGCGAGAATTGGGATTCAAGGTCAGTATTTAATTTGAAATGTTCACGAAAATATTATAAGCAATAAATATATACCAGCATAAGATCACGGTTCATATGCTTTGCGGTGTTTACACTTAGAATAGCAATGATACACAACCCTACTCTTTGATTAAGAATACTTAACTATATCGTCTAAATTCCATTGAAGTGACTTTAATTATATATGTTAAGGTCAATGTCGGTAAATCAAGCAACATTGGTAATTTAGGATCATCGGACTTTTTACAATCAAAGAATGGGTTTTTTTTTAATGCAAAACCGCGCCGGTGAACATTTATTTCGTTTGCAATTAGTCTGTAAATTGTCGATATTGACTTTAATATTTATTATATAAAAACAATCTTTAATGTTTTTGATAACATTCTACCAACAGACGTTGGCGGTGAGATTTGAAAGTAGAAACCTTCTTAAGACATTAAAGAAAATTTTAGCTAATTTTCCATTTATGAAAATTGCAAAAACAGATTTTATGCTATTTACATTAGTTGTGCTTAGCTGTTTTTTCTGAAACAAAATCTTCATCTTGCTCAGCTTCAAAGGTTTTATTATTAAGATGCAGTTCATTGGGTGAGAATGTTGAAGTTTTAAATAAATGATAAATTTAACAAAAATTATCATATTATTTGCATAATAAATCTTGTTGAACAAATTTACCATACACAGCACAAAATTCTTGAAATGCATTTTTTGGAAGCACTGATAGGTTAATTTTTAGTTGAAATATTTTTTTTTTGAAAAATGTCCCAAATCTTTATCAGTAGCCTGATCATTGAAATAATTATTAATACAAGTAATTGTTATATCTTAACATTTAGAGTATGAGTCACATTTAAATTTATTAACTGAATTTGTAATTGGTTCATCATTATATAATTCTTCAGAAATTTCTTTTTTTTTTCGAATACGATTGATTTTAAGTTCAGAAAAATAAGCTGATTATTTCCTATGATAAAATGATGAACCTCGTGAATTAATTTATCATATGTTTTATAATTTTGTCTTACTTACGTTAATTTTTTTTGTGTTTCTTCAATTCCTTTCACAGTAGCTAAAAGATCTAAATCTCCACTCAGAATTTAAAATGAAAATTGTTAAAAAAAATGAGAATATATATTAGCTAATCCAGATCACTATCAACTATAACACAATATAATTTACTTTTTAAATATTTATTGTCAATAATTGACTAATAATTATTATTATTGTAATTTATAATATAAGTTACGTTAAAAAATAAAATATTTTTAAATTCACTAACAAGTAGCAATAAGTCAATTAACGTTGAAACGTAAAATTAAAAATACAACTATTTCTCGGCAGTGGGTACTTACTTTCTTCAGAGAAATCTTTTGTAGAAGTTATAGATAGAAGATCTACAGTTAAACTTAAAATACTGTTAGTCTTGCGATATGTATTAATTTTTAAATTTGAACTTGACAATTTTCTTTTTTGAAATGTACTTAAATGCAAATGTTTGTTGTATTTAGTCAAATGTGTCATGTCAAGCACAATAACCCATTGATCATTGTACTACTAACTTAATAGAATACCTACCTAAGGTTGGGCTATATATATTAAATCTGAAAAAAATATGGAATAATAGATTATTGTATTCTCTATATTTTAATGGATGTAATTCTATTTTCAAAATATTTTAGTGTGATATCTCTGTTACCGTAATAAATTAATAATTCCCTCCCCCCCCCACATACACACACAAATAAATATTTGCGCCAATTGTCTATACTTAAATAGGTGATACTTTTAAAATACAAAATATAACGGTTAATAAATAGTCTTAAAGTTAATATGGGTACTTAGGTACATATAACGCATTGTTCGTATTCTTATTAATAGCCTTATTAGTAAGCTGTGCTAGTATTCTAATTAATATCCTTATTAGTAAGCTGTGGTATTATTCTCATTAATATAAATTCTCATGAGTAGCTGTGGTGTTTTCGTTTTAGTTAATAGTACCTATATTAAAAAATGTAATTTTATAAAAAGAATAAAAGAAAATAATGCAGAAAGGTAATTAGATCTTTTTTTTTTTTATGAATTTTGCAATATTTTTAATATACGTAGTTTATATTCTATAATCATTCTTAAAATTATTTTTTAGGTACATCCGACGCTGCAATAAAAGCAGGACTTGAAAAGCGTATGTACTAAAAAAAAAATTAAATATAATTTTAATGATTATTGCCATTCCAACGAAACCTTGAAAGTTAATAAATATACAATTATCATTATTTTAATTAGTTATTTATTTATATTTAATAGTTAATATATATATAAAGAATGAACGTAAGTATTTTAAACAAGTATGCAAATTTTAAATTTTTGTTCGATTGTTAAGGACAATTTTAAATAGTTTTTTGTGTGATAATACAGCAGTGGCCAAGTTGAGGTATGACCATTGTAAATATTTAGCGACCAGTGTAATTGTATGATTGTGTGCCATGCTGGACTGAAGTAATACTATGTTGAAGAAACNTTGTAAATATTTAGCGACCAGTGTAATTGTATGACGTACCGCCATGCTGGACTGAAGTAATACTATGTTGAAGAAACCACGAAACATAGATTTCAGCCAAAAAAAACCTGTTGGGAGCGTAGCCCTATATACACCACTTACCATGCACATTTATATTATTTAATGAATGTTTTGACTAAAAATTATCAACACAAAATAAATATAAGTAATAGGTCAAACAATTTCACTAATTGGGCTGGATCTTAACATTTTAAAACCCGGGAAAAATGTAAAATTTACGCCCATTTCTGAGAAATAACCAGTTAGTATTTATTTTTTTTTTTACGAAAAATCAAGTACACTTAGTTTTATCAACCATTTATAAATAGCCGTAATTAGTATTAGGAGTTCTCAAAAGATAGCATTAGCAATACCAATATTTAAGAAATAACTATAATCGTAATTGAATAGGCAGAAAAATAATTAGAGGGTTGGAGGATATCTGGTGGTGGAGGTGATATCACGTCAGTAAGCCGACTGTCAAAAACAATTCCCAGTTTGAACTTTGGATAGAAGTCTGCGATGAGAAAACAACCTTTTCTTGTCAGTCCTATAATTATTAATTTATAATATTACGGTGCTACAGCAACAGTATTTGTCACGTCTTGTTCTTTTATTGCTAAAAAAAAATTGCTGATTTTTTAAATTAAGGTTTGGAAAATGTATTTTTATTACAAGTATTACTACTGTTTGTTTTAAAATTAATTTTTTCTAGTATAAGTGGACTATTCTATTCTATTACTTCTTAGTAATTTAAACAAGAATTTTCAATTTAGATATTTTCTCCTATTTTTTTAACGTCACCGTAAGTCTCAGATAATAACTAACTGTACATTAACAAAAATTTTGATATTATCAATTATATTTATTCTGAGATTTTTTCTTGAAGATTCTTTTTTGAACGTATACGACAACAAAGTACAAAACTAGGTCAATATCGTTGGTTACTGATATTTTAACATTAAAAACTCTACTTCATAACTAGGTAGCTGACTTTACTGATCGGACGACCAAGTAAACCTTGTGCCCCACGGCTTTCTAACACCAATTCCCTCATCTCAACTCTTGGTAGTTCTATACTTCAACTATTGTTCGTAGTTGAGTATTTGGACGTAAATTTACCCAGTAAAAACTACAGAACGCTAGGTAGTCTCGTGTAACCGTGTTTATACTTAACCATATGCGAATAATTAAACACAAACGAGTCTTCCAATATAACGTAATACTTTATTCGAACTGGCTGGACTCGTTCTCCGGCCTTCTATCCAAAGCTCCAGAGAAGAGTGATTTTCACAATAATAGTTTAATAATCGTTTTAACAATTTGTATAAAATAACTGTTGATAATAAAAATTTAATAATAACTGATGTTTATTTAATTTTTAATGCTTTTCAGGGCCATGTAAGTCTTACATAGATTAATAATAAGTAATAAGAAATACTTATGGGTAAAGTTCACTGAAACATTAAATAAATATGTGATCAAAAACGGAACTAACATTGTGTATTTTTTAATTTTCCCTGTTTAAAATATTTTCATGGAACAACACGTCATAATCTACTTCTTTATTTCTTTTTAAAAAATGTTGTTTCACACAGATTGGATTATTTTTTCCGTGTGTAGGTACTAGGTAGACTATATGTGTTTATAGACAGACGTCTAGAATTTCCAGCTAATCAATACTTCGTACTTTTTATATTTGTGAATAATTCGCTTTTCAACGTCAAATTGAATTACTGAGCAGGACGCAGCTTTATGCCTCGACATGTAAATATCTTTATAGCTATAGAAAGGTGACTAGCTTATACCTCATTTATAAAGTATGCGATTGCACCAACCATGTTCAGTTATAATTTTGTTTATTGTTGTTCATAATATGCGAAGAAGTTCATATCTTAGAGTTGAGTCTTCAATTAGGTTTGCGTTCCTTAGTCTAACATCTAACCAAAACAATTTCCATTGCGGGTCTTTGACCGACTAGGTTTCGAATTTGATATACACGGCTTTTACAAAGACTTTGGCCTATTATCTGTGTGTTAGATAATGTTCCTATGCATGCTGATTAGAATAGTTTAGGTTTTCAAATTTCAAATTGTTTAATAATTTTAGTTTACTGAAGTCCTCTTATGATTTAAGACTGGTTTACAGTTACAAGCTCATTAATTATTTTTACCAAAATTATTGCAGGTCATATTGAGTTTCTTGATACGTTACTACTACTGCACAATTTTTGAACCTTTTAAAATATACTTGAATCCTCTCTTCCTCTGAGACTGCTTGTGTTGTTTTATCTAAGGTAAGTTGATAACTTTTTAGATTTTCCAGGTCTTCCGAAAATTCTTTAATCATTTATCGATTGATTAATTTCTCCTTCACCTGAACAGTTTCCGGTAAGAAACCAGGAGTTTATTATTCCATTATTAAATTTCTGTCAAGTTATAATCCTTCTGCACTAGAATAAAAATTTTTCTCCGATCCTTTACAATCGAAGTTAAACCGAGCCGCTTAGGTGGCTGTACACAATGAGCGGATGTTGTGCGTTAAAATGTTTTGATTTAGAACTCTCATACGAATTTTCACTTCGTGAACCTTTATTTTGTACTTGTTATGATTTTATCATCTAGTAGAACTAGTGGAAAAGCGAAAAATGTATCTAATCTCTTACATAAATATAACTGTCATAATTATTCTATTTTTGTTTCTGTAGATTTAGACGACAGATTTCTCGGTAAGTAAAAGTATTTCTGTTGGTAATTTTAAATATATAAAATATAGTATTTATTTAAAGTTTTTTTTGGAATTTTCTCGATCATATTATTGATTATTATCGTTTATATTTCTATGGTACACAAGGTTTTATTAAAATTATAATATTTACAATAATAACTGATATTTTTATTTAATATTTGATTTCACAGTATTAGGAGGTAAGACTTATAGAGATTAATAAAAACTAATTATAACTAATTATAAATTAAGGTTTGTCCTGCAAAACCTTAACCTAACTGCATATTTTGAAGGTAGGATTACTGTATAGGCTGATAAAAAAAGTATTGTAACAAATCGTATATAGTCATTAAAAACCAATGATTTTTATAGCTTAAAAAAAATATTACAATATTTATATCAACAACTGATGTTTAGTTAATATTTGATTTTACAGTGCGCAAAGGTAAGTTTTACACAGATTGATACATAAAAATAAAAAATATATACAGTTTAAGTTTACTGGAATATTAAATAAATATGAGATCCGGAGATACGGAATTATAATATTGTGTATTTTTTTATTTGTTTTGGTTAAAATATATTTTTTGTACAACACATATTCTACTTGTTTATTTTTTGCGATGAAGGATTTCTATTTATTCTTCCCTATTTATTCTTCAATATGTAAAACCTTAACAACTTCAAATAGTATTCGAAATCCAACATATTTCATTTGAAAACATGTACTCCATTATGAAATATTAGTTGGTTTTTTAATCTATTATATAGGATATTCTACAGTGTCATCTAAATCGAGGATGTTTTGTTAAAAGAGCATCTACAAAATTTAACATTTTTTCGGAAAGCAAAAAAAACTATTTCGCAAGGAAAGAGCAAAACCATTTTTAATGATTATTATCGTGGAAAACAATAATATTACTATAACACATAATACCTTATACTCAAAGTATAAAGGCATTGATGGGGTATACGATCTTTTAACAAATCAATGATGATTTTATTATATTTTCAAAGGGTCTAAATATTTTTAATCGATATTACCATCTCGATTCTCTGTATTTAAATACGCCCTTTTACCAGTTAATTCTCATAGATGTTAAAGGTATCATAGACATCTCATAGATATTAAAGTTATCATAGATATCTCATAGATATTAATATCTATGTTTATGTTTCTAATTTTATAATTTTGTAATATATTTAGAATCCCCAATTTGGTTAAGAAAATATTAAAGAATTTTTAAATTGAGATTTTATAAAGCACGCAGAATCACTGTATACTATACTTTTTTTTAAAAATTATTAATTAAATAACAATAATTACAACTCATTTATACTAAGTCAGATAAATTTTGAAGTAAATAAACATTATGTACGAAATAATCAAATACCCATTTTATGTTCCAAATTACTCTCAAATTGCATGCTAAATAAATATTTTTATATCTTTTGGCAGCTCTCAAGTAATTTGTAATCTATATATGTGATTTATTCAAATAATTTATTTTGTTTTTGTTTTATTCTTTTTTTTTTCTCTCATTGAACTTATTATTTAAAAATTTTAAACATTACTTTATTATATTCTCCACAATTAAAGCATTTCACAGTGAGATTTTTAATTTTATTAAAAATTATCTGTATTCGAACTTTCGCTTATCCAAACTAAGTATAGTCTCAAGTTAAAAAAAATCGAAGTTCTGTTCTATATTATTTTTATTAATATTTTGTAAATTGGACACTGTTCGTAAGAATTTAAAATAAATAATTCAGAAAATAGTACACGCAATTTATGTTACATCACCTCTATTAATTAATTTCGAATGAAGGTTTAGTGTATAATTTGTATAACAAATTGAATATAACCAATAAAAACTAATGATTCTCATGTCTCAACAAAAAATGTTTTTTTATCTACTATACTTATTTCTACTATTAAAATCATAATAATGATTGATGTTTTTTAAATTTTTATTTCGTAGAATATGATGGTAAGTATTACATAGATTAATAAAAACTATTTCTCGTAATATTTCTGTGATAAAACATATATTGGGCTCCCCTATATTTTTCAAAAAAGTATCATTACTCTTGAAGGAGAAGAGTGAAGAACTGTGTTTTGAAAATGACATATTTCAATTAAAAAGTCCATTCTGTAATGCGATAATGTTTTTTTTTTTTTTAAATCTTCTATACACATTGGTTATGTGTAGAATAAATATTCATTTGTTTGGGGTAACTTATGCTACACCGATGTAATCGAAAACATTTAATACGACAGGATTTAAAAAGGTTTTTTTGATACTTGAAAAATATTCCCACGATTCTCATTGGTCTTGTATTAGAGTTAAGTTAAGATTTTCTCACTATCACTGGTTTTTGATAGATGGTCAGTTTCAAATGCGATTAAAACTAGGATATTATTTTTCATTGGAACTGGTAAGGACATCGGATGGTATAGGAAATAATTTCCGTTAGGAATCAAAGAATGGTTATCATGAATTTATAATTTGTCCTTGTAAAAAATGTATATGTCTCATATTTTAACAAATTGCATGAGATATTTTATAAGAATCTATAATTTAAAAATCGTTATCAATACTTTGTTAAATTCTATTTAATTAAATCGTCTTGAAGTGAGCTTTTTAATTTTTAAAAAATTTACTATATCCAAGCTTTCACTTATTCAAACTAGGTGTAGTCCCAATTAGTTCGGATAATCGAGGTTCTACACTATATCATTGTCATTAATAAATTGTATTTTGGACAATATTCGTAGGGGTTGGGATTATAAACAATATACTCTGTATAGTGTAGATTATAAGTAAACCAATCACACTGTAGTAGAGCAGACGCTGAATAGACATTTTTTTTTATCATAACATATTTGTCTTATGTAGTTGCTTGTAGAACGGTTATTTGTTGATTAATATTACTATTGTGTATCGTATCATTTTACTTATTATTATATTAATATATCCAATCGTATTATTATGTACCTTTAACTTCTGAATATCTGTGACCTGTGTACCTCAACTGTAAGAATTTAAAATAAATAAATCGGAAAATAGTACGTGTTGTTTTTGGGACTTATTGTTACATCACTCATATTAATTTCAAAGGAAGTCTATATGTTATATAACAAATAGAACTTAACAATGACAAAACAATGATTCTAGAGTCTCAATGAAAATTTTATTTATTTTATATATTTATTCTTAATATTAAAATCATAATAATAACTGATTTTTTTTAATTTTCAATTTTTTAGAAAATCGTGGTATGTATTACACAGATTAATAAATACTTGTTAGATAATATTAACATTGTATGTTTTTTTGATTGTACTTTGTTGGAATATTTTTGTGGTAAAACACATATTCTATTTCCCTATATTTTTAAACTATATTTACTCTTGAAAGAGAAAGGTGAAGACGAGTGTAAAGATTTGAAAAAGATACAAAACGATTCTCAATGGTCCTGTTTTAGATTTGATCGCTATCACAATCATTAATCACTATCAGTCTATAGCTTATAGTTTTACACAAAGATGTTTTTTTTTTTTTTTTATCTGTGCGCAACTTTTCTACCAGAGGATTTACTCGAAATTCCACGTGTAGCACCTTTTCTGAAAGGAAATTTACGTGGAGAGGTACCTTTCGATTTTCTCAAGAGTTTCTCATCAAATGCGAAAAACCAAATAAAAACTGGAAAATTTACGAAACATAATAAATATAATCTTATGATTTTTTTTTCTGTGGACAACTTTTCTACTAATAATTTTTCTCCAACTTTTAATGATAATAATGTTACTAAAAGGAAATTTCATTGGAGTGGTAATTTAAAGAGGTCATTTTTTTATTTTCCTCGGAGTTTTTACAATAAATTTGAAAAACCAAAAAAAAAAACAGAGGAAAAACGGGAATATGTACGAAATATATTTATATAATATTACGTTTTTTTTTTCTACGGACAACTGTTCTACCAGCAATTCTGCTCCAACTTTTAATGAGAACAATGTTTGGAATGTACTTTAGAGAGGTCATTTTTTGATTTTCTTTAGAGTTTTCCTAACAAATGTGAAAAACCGGGATAAAACAAGGGAAAACTGAGAAAACCGTAGAAAAACTGAAAAAATTGGTACAACATGAAAAAAATTTCTTTTAAGAAAATATATAAACCTATTTAATTATTTTACTACAAAATGACATAAATATTGTTGACAAAGCATTACTATCAACTGAACTTCATTCAAAATCGTTTTTTCGTAAGCAATGGTTTATTGTTGCTTACAAATATACATTAAATTCCCATCTCTATTCTACCTTCCCAACGTCCCATCTTTACCAGTGGCTGCACCCGTCCCTATTATTATACCTTTCATTTTTTTATTTATATATTTATTTACTTTATTTAAATAAATATTGTGAAGCCAATACATTCTTCGCCCCTTTCAGAATATAAAAGTGAAATTATCAATATGTCACACATATGCAAGGCCGCAGTTAGCTATGTATTACACTGAGTTTAGCTATTAATCATGAGTAGTAATGATTTTCCTTCGAAATTTTCTATCGTTGCCTCTTCATGTTAGGGCGTATAATAATAATTATTAAATTTATTATAATAATATTATGATCGATAAAAGTAAAAACCATAAGTTAATTTTTTTTAAATTAAAAATAATATTTTATATTTTAGGGTTCTACATAAAAATATTATTGTTTGATGTTCCGAAATCTTAAAAATGCATAAGAAATATTTCTGTAGTGCTTTGAGCCTCATATAGTAGGATAAAACTTCTCTGCACTTTACCGTTGGGAATGGTCCGAGCCGTTCGGGTGGCTGTATATGAGTATAATGGGCGGCGGTGGCGAAAGAAATATTTTAGTTCGAGCCCTCCCATAAGAAGTATATTTTGTACCTAATTATTTACTAACAGTAGAGTAGAACTTACTAATATTAATGCTAAATATGTGTCGAATTTATTATTTAAATAAAACTGTTATTTTTTATTTTTATTATTTCTGTAGAAATCGATCCATGGAGTAAGTACAATAATTTTTTTTCGGATTACTTTATATTGTATAATACAAATTTGAATTCGATTTTTTCCTTAATGATTATTAATTATTTTCGTTTTAATCGATGTGATAAATAAGTGCAGTTCGATAATCGTTTTTTATTTTAACAATACAAATTTGTCCAGAATGTAACATTGAAAGACACAACTACCTACCTAAATGTTATAATAACGATTTATATTATTTAATATTAATATTATTACATCGAAACAATATAAGATTCCTTAATAAATTAAAAAATTAAAACAGTAAAATTTCTGGGGCTCCTTAATGTAATAATCAATTTCAACAATTTTATTCTCAGAATTTCCATAAAATTATTTCGTACGTTATTTCACAAATTGAGACAATCTTTCGGAAATTTTGATAAATTTCTCAAAATATAAGTAAATTATTTTTTTAAGTTGCTAACTATTATTTTATAACGGCGAATTTATACTAATTAAATATAGATGCTATAGCTACCACCTCTATAGATCTTATGCAAATTACTTAATATGCAACTGCCCTGCTAACTACTTGTACTCATTTATACTAAGTCACATAAATTTTAAAGTAAATAATCACAATTTACGAAACAATCAAATACCTATTTTATGTTCCAAATTACTCTCAAAGTTGCATGTTGAAACACCCAAAAAATATTTTAATGTCTTTTGGCAACGATCAAGTAATTAATAATCTAGTACCAATTAGTTCGAGTAATCAAGGTTCCACATTTTATTATTGTTATTCATATATTGTAAATTGGACACTGTTCGTAAGAATTTAAAATAAATAATTTAGAAAATATTACGCGCAACTTCTATTAATCAATTTCGAATGAAAGTTTAGTGTATAATTTGGATAACAAATTGATTGTAACCAATAAAAACTAATGATTCTCGTATCTCAGCAAAAATGTTTTTAATTAATATACTTATTCTTACTATTGAAATCATAATAATAACCGATGTTTTTTTAATTTTTGATTTCGTAGAAATAGCTGGTAAATATTACATAGTTTAATAAAAACTTATTAGATAATATTAAAATTGTATGGTTTTTTTTTATTGTTCTTTGTTGAAATATTATTTTTTTGGTAAAACACATATTCAACTTCTCTATATGTTTCAATAAAGTATCTTTACTCTTGATTGAAAACTAGGTTATTATTGTTCTCCGGAACTGGTAATGGGATCGGGCGTTATATGTTATAATTAGGAATCAAAGGAATTTAAAATTTGTCCTTGCAAACATTTGATATGTATGATATTCCATAAAATTGTATAAGAGATTTTATATGAATCTTTGAGGGAAACGCTACTCCCAATAAATTAATTTGATTTCCTTGATTTCCTTCAATAATAATTATTATTAAATTTATCGTAATAATATTATGACCGATAATAGTAAAAATAAATAAGTTAATTTTTTTTTTTAGATAAAAAATTATATTTTATATTTTAGGGTTCCACATAAAAATATTATTGTTTGATGTTCCGAAATCGTATACATGTTTAAGAAACATTGTTGTAGAGCTTTCTCATACAGTAGGATAAAACTTCTACGCACTATACCATCGGAGATGCTCCGGGCCGCTCGGGTGGCTGTATACGAGTATAATAGGCGGCGATGCGAGTGAAATTTTTTTAATTCAGGCCCTCCCATACAAACTTACTAGTGTTAATTCTAAATATCTGTCGAATTTATAATTTCAATATAACTGTTATTTTTGTTTTTATTATTTCTGTAGCTGACGAATTTGATGGTTATCGTAAGTATAATATTTTATTATTAACTCATCTTCAGTCGTAATATTTTTGAGCGAATCTATAAGATTTTCATATTCCACTGTAAGACCAACATCATTTTTTTTTAACCGACTCAGAACCTCGGAACATAGTTGTTTTAGTACTTTAGTTTAATAGAACTTTTAGAAGTAATTAGGTAATGGATCGGATGATTTCAGTAGTAAATGAAAAAAGTCGAGGATGCTCTAGTTATAAAATTTTCTGTCGACTGTTTTAAAAGATCTACTACTTTAGTTAACCGAAATATTATAAAATATTGTATACTATAATTAATGTTTGAACATCGTATTATTATTAATATATTATCTTTTGATTTTTCAGGGTTTAATGGTAAGTAAAATTTATTTTATTACTTTAATTACAAATATAATTCATTGGTTACCGTTTGTAATAGAATAGAAATAAAAATTAAATAAGCCGTTGTGTACTAGAATCGAAAATAAATTTGAACGGAATTTATAACAGAATGGGTATGGAATAGTACGGTAGTTATGGGGCAGGTATAATATGGGAACGGGTCTAACATGTGGTACGTGATACCGGGCGTGTGTCGGGTTCATTCGGTAGTCGGTAAATATAGGATGCTTAATACGAAGCTATAGGATATTATTATAATTATTTTATTATGCATTGGTCCACTACACCGTATATAACAGTAAAAGCGAAACAGTCTTTTAAACAGGACGGCGGTGAGGGGCTGCGTGTGGTTGTCGACGGTTTTGCGATTTAACGCGGCGCTACGTTGCCACTGTATGCGTGGACAACCATATGTGATACTGTGTACGGTATAAAATGTGCGTATAATAACGTACACTAAACACTATAACCCAACCGTATACTATGGGATATTACTGTGTACAATCCGAGGACCGTCCTCTTTTCTGTGCGATTGTATGTTTGAATTACATAATACATTACATAATAATACATTTGTATGAACGAACACTTCCAAATCACGTAACTGTACGCCCTAACATAAAAAAAAAAATCTAAACAATGTCCTATTATTGAAATAAATAAACTTTTACATTTTTCGTTAATCTACAACGCCATATTGAAGTTCTTCTAGATCGTGTCAGCTACAATATGATAGATATAGATAAATTAGAAAATGGAGGTTTTGATAAATTGTTTGTTTCCAATTTGTGAACTGTTGTATTTTTTTGTTAACTTGCTACACCTATCACAAGCTATACTTTTGGGACAGCGTCATAACTCGTATTTATTTTTAAAATTATATTAAATTATTATCTACGTTTAATCATATTTATTTATAGCAATAAAGTCAGCTATAATAGTTATATAAGAATAGCGGTCACCAGGTGCAGCATCCCTCTTTCGGTTCTGCATCTACTAATAAAACAACTGATAAAAGAAGCATTTATTGACAAATTAATTTAAACATACAATCACGCAGAATAGGAAGGTCCTTGGACAACGCACAGTAATAACCCATATTTTATACGGTTTGATAGTACATAATATGATATACATAACATACATATAAAGCATACACAGTATCACATCTGGTTGTCCACGCATACAGCGCCGCGCCAAATCGCAAAAACCGTCGACAACCACACGCACCCCCTCACCGCTCGCCGTTCTATTTTTAAGATGCTTTCACTCTTACTGTCGTGTGAACCCATGCCAAATAAAATAATTGTAAATTATAATACCAATATTACTAATATCCTGTAGCACTCCGTATTACGCATCCTATAATTCATTATGGACTCCCGAACGGACTCGACATTCGGTAAAGCACGATTGAGCAAATTAATTTATATATTAATATGCTCAATGGTGTCGTAAAAAAAGTGTTTTATGCCCCAATCGTGTTGTAGTCCAGACATTCGCCAGGTTTTATGTACCACCTGTTAGAACCCCGTTCGGTATCATACCTGTGTCCTGTTCCCTACCCACTATATCGGTTCTATTACACTACCACAGGTATTTTGGTTTTATATAATATAATGTGATATCTATTAATTTCTTACAGATGAAAATTATTATTTTACATATTTTAAAAAACAATTTTTTTTGACATTATATAAGTTTACTACGTTTTACATAGATGTAAACAGATACCACATAATGAGAATTTAAATGTTTTAATTTTCCTAGGATATTGTAACTTTTGGAAAAATAAATTCATATAATATTTCAACACACATGCGTAATTTTTGTTGACCTTAACCAATAGAATTATCCGGTATAACACAACGTTTCCATAGAATACCTAATACTGTACAAATGAAAACCTCTTAATATATTTTTATTCTTATTTACAGAAAAAACTAAAAAAGAAATCATTCGAATCCTCAAAGATTAATAGAGGCTCCTTAAAATAACAGTTTTATATTATTATTATATGTATATTAAGATTATTATTAAACTGTATTATTATTATATCCGTATCATAGATAATTTATTTAAAGCTTAAATATTTAAATTTGTATTGGAATATATTGTGAAAACGTTTGTTGAAAACACTCAATATCTTTGTACCCAGTTATGTAACTTGAATTTTTCTTTATTTAGTTGTTATATTTATTATTGCTCCTGTTTCTTCAATATTTTTTCAATATTTGCCCGGTCGTTGCCGAACAGGTGCGCATGGCCACTGCCGTGTGGATGGGAACATAACCACTGCAACCGGCTGAGCAATGACGATCGTCCCGCTTACCCACCACAGCTACTCCCTCCTCAACCCACATGCCGCTTTAGAAACCTTCGCTGTCGCTGCCTATCAGCAGCACGTCTAGGTCCGGGAGCCCCGGATCCCCGATCGCCAGTTGCAGGAACTCCATCTCGTCCTCTTCTTCTATTTCTTCGCGTCCTGCTACCTCCGACGCCGAAACCACCTTGCACTCCGCTTCCATCCGGACCTGCCGTTAGCGTGGAACTATCCCGTCTCCACGGCCCATCTCGGCCGTCCTTGGTCTGATTTGGGCCTGGGTCCTGGATTGGAACTGAACCCTAGTCAGACTCTGGATATGTGGTTGCCACTGGACTAGTATCCCGACATGGGTACGAGGTTGAAACTGGTCCTGGCTCCCGAACTAGGACTGGACCACCCATACCAGACCGCGTTCTACTGCCAGCTGCAGTACCGAGTGGCCCAACACCTCCGCGTTGGACATTACGAGCCATTGTCCCACCGTCCTGCCTTCCACTGTGTGGATGCCCATTGGTGGTTGTTTCTCCGTAGGCGTTCAATCGAGGGCATACCTGTGTAGAAAAAAGTTTTGGGGGGGGATATTTTTGAAAATCAGTTATTGAAAAGTACAACTTTTTTTAATAAACATACAACATTTTTTTTATGAAAATTAGCTATATTTACAATACTTTTTTTAAAATATAAATATTGATATAACAAAAATTACAATACTAAATCAAATTTTCGTAAAGTTTTAGCCATTATTATTATGTTAAGAATATCTTCATAATTAACTTCTATGTCTCTATATACATTTAACAATGTTAATCCATTTAATTTTTCTACGCCTGTTTTTGTTACGTTAATGCGTTCTCAATTTACCAAGGGAAGAAAACAAGCATACACTTGTAGCTACCGATACTGGGAGCGTAGCACCAATACGTAAAAATCGATAAAATGATTGGTACAGTGCTGAATTGCATTTATTTAATGAAGGATACTGGTCGATTTTCATTTGGCATGCATTATTCATAATACTCTTATCCGCGGTAATTGTTTCGTCATGTATAGCCTAGATATTTTTTTTTCTTTTTATTGTTAAAATATCCACTAAAACATATTAATATATTCTCAATAATTAAGGAAAGATATTATCAAAATATGTTTTAACGATGTTTCCAACAATATTTATTGTCCATTAGATACATATCTGACAAAAAATATATTCTCAATAAGTATATAAACACGTTTTTAAAATATTTTCTAACGATGTTATGAACATTATTATCTTATTCATTAAATAAAAACATTGCCAAAATATCTGCTTAAACATATGTTCTCAATAAGTATATAAACACGTTTCTAAAATATTTTCTAATGACGTAAAAGACCATTATTTTCTTATTTATTAAATAAAAACATTGCCAAAATATCTGCTAAAACATATGTTCTCAATAAGTATATAAAAACGTTTCTAAAATATTTTCTAATGACGTATAAGACCATTATTTTCTTATTTATTAAATAAAAACATTGCCAAAATATCTGCTAAAACATATGTTCTCAATAAGTATAGAAACACATTACCGCCATATTTTTTATGACGTTTTAAAAAATATTTTCTTCAACACATAGAAAAAAATATTGTAATAATATTTTTTAAACATGCTTCTTTCAGGCATTTTGCTCATAATATTAACATATTGTAAAAATATTTATACTAAAATATTTTTAAGAACATGTATAAAACATATATCTGCAATATTAATATGTTTCAATTGCTATCTGGGTTCTAGACTACGGGCCCGGCCTTCTTTTCCTCCATGCATCCATCATTTCTTCCCACACTGGGACTCCGCCGGCCCGCCCCATTAGCCGTCTCGCGCACATCATCGCAACCTGCGCCTTATCTAATAGAAGTTCGGCCACATCCGCTACGGTCGACCGCGGAGGCCGAAACCCCGTTGTCACCAGTTTTCCTTGGCCATTGTTCGGATTCATATTCTGAAACATTATCGAAACCTTGTTGTAGATTATTGTTCACCTTATAAACCCGTTTGAACCCGGGACTATGCAACTTCTGCTCAAGTTTCGTGTCCGTCGCGAACACCCCGCCCCCCAGGTTTGCCCTAACACCTTGCTCGTCCGGTCGGTGTTTTCCCTGGAGAATCTTTTTTGGTGCATTTCTCAGTCTCCTGGATTTTTACTTCACTTCCGAACACTAGCTCGGTTGGTGTAAGCCGGTGCTTTGGGTTTTCCTGTTTCGGATTGCAAATAGAATCTCCGGTAAGACCTCATCTCACGTTCCATGGCTTTTCCCCATTGTTTTTGCCATTAATCCTTTCTTGATTTCCTGGTTTCTCCGTTCCACGGGGTTTGCCCATAGGTGGTAAATGGGTGTTGTCTATACTTCGAATCTCCACTTTCTTAACAAATCCTTTGCCAGTTCTGAAAAAAAATTGCTACCCATTATCCGAAAGTATCACCAGCGAGTATCTGTAACGTATGCAAAACTCCCTTTTGATAATGTCTAGAATTACTCGAGATGTTGTCGCCTCGATTAGATAAGCCTCTACCCATTTACTGTAATAATCCGTTGGCTAGCTATATTTGTTTAAAAATTGACAGTTAAAAAATAATTAATAATTTTCTCTTTTTCCGTGTTCAATTTTTTTTATACTGTATTAAATATATTTGTATGTTCTACAAACTAAAGGTAAACGATTCAATTATAATAACAATAATAAAACACAGTACAAATTAAATATTTTTAAAACTTATAATATCATACAAATAATTAGTACAATAAAAAAAAAAAAGATTATAATTTAAAATTAATTACACTATATAGTAGATTATATTTGTATGTTTTATATTCTTCTTCTTATTCGGTTTCATCAAACAATTCTACAAGTGTACAATCTTCAATATAATCAACCTCTATTTTTATAGAACTAGTGACCATTGACCTTTGAAATGTCCACATTCAATTAAGCACTTAAGACCTGATTTTCGGCAACCACAGTTTTTACCACAACCTTTGATACAACTACATGATATACATTTAAGTAACTGATCTGGAACTTTCGGTGTGGTTACTGGTGACATAATATTAAATTAAAACGTCCATCCTCAATATTCAGAGATTTTAACAACTGCGCTTGTAAATAAACTCTGTAAGAATGTTGTCTGACAGCTTCTTCTGTCAGAGGAAGTGACACAAGATTAATTTTGTTTTTTGTAACACATTTTGTAAACAGCTTATAACGTTGTTTGTTCAAAGACTTTTCATTTTCTAATGTTCCACATAAATATAAAAAAACATTAAACACCAGTTTTTTTTCCATTTCTTCGTGAGATGGATTAGGTTTTTTAAAAATTGAAACGACTGAGTTTATATTCTTTGTTTATCTATAATTTGAACGCATTTTTTGTTCCGTTTTGGAATAAGGCTGAAGTTATACCATATCCACTAAACGCATGATAAAACAATATTTTATCTATCGTGGGTTTATCGTGCTTTTGTATAAATTCAGTACTACACATTTACATTTTAGATTCTGAGTGTAGGGAAGAAAGTATTGGTTTTACTAAGATGTTATTTTTTTTTTTTTTTTTTATTCTGTTTACAAAAATTCGACCATAAATCTTACTCAGATATAGATATATACGCGTGGCACCATTTCTGAATTGAAAATGTTGTCCAGATAGTACTTTTGAGAAGTCATTTTTTAATTTTAAAAACGGTTTTCATAGTATCTGGGATAAACCAGGATAAAACATAAGAAAAACAGGAAATTTACGAAAAAAATGCTTTTATTATTTTTAAATTTTGTTATTTGTTGTAATTCAGTTTAAAATATTCGTAGAAACTCGAAATTTGAACAAAAAACTTATATTTGCCTTTACTAAATGAGATAAAATTAAAGCCATTTTCGAGCTATTTATAGACATTTAAAATTTTTGAGTTTTATATGTAATTTTTATTCGATAGGTACTCTGTGATAAAATAGTCAAACTTAACAAAAATGCTTGAAAATAAATTTAATAGGAGGTTCATTGAGAGTCTAACTTTGTTGTAAAAAAAAAAATTGAGTTTAATGCAGTATTTTTTTTTTATAAAGGAATTTTAATATTAAATTTTGACGAAAATCGTTGGAGTAAAAAAAATATGTAGATCAAATCTAATTTTTTTTTTTTTTTCTGAACATATGTATATTGTCAATTTAATAATTGAAATCAGAACTGAGGGGACCGACTTTTTTTTAAAATTATAACTTTTTGAAGTTCTGATATTTTGCGAATATTATATGTTGTGTTAAAAATAAATAACTATATATTGTCTTTTTAAAGAATATTTGTCGTGATCTAATGTTTATACATACCTCTTGTTATAGCATTTTTTCTAAAAGGAAATCTGACTGGAAAGGTACTTTAGGGAGTTAGTTTTTCGATTTTCCCAGGAGTTTCCCAATAAATAGGAAAAATCGGTACAATATTAAACAAATATTGTTAAAGAAAATATATACAGCATATTTAATTATTTTACCATAATATGACATACGTATACATATTGTTGACAAAGCATCGCTATTAAAAGAACTGCGCTCAGAATTGTTTTTTCGTTAGCAATGGTTTATCGTTGCTTACAGATATACATTAAATTACTTATCACAGTGATTGCACATGTCTCCATTATCGTAGGACGTCTTTTTGTTATTTATTATTATTATTGCTCGTATTATTATTATTATTATTATTATCATTAATTAATCAATCATTCGTAAGTTTAAATAAACAGGTAGGTAAGTAGGTAGGGTTGATACATTATGTTCTGCCTACAATATAATGCTGTTTCACTACCTGCTGTGTAAATGGGAGTATGTAATTTGCACCACCGTAGGTAGTTGAAAATAGTGTGTAATTTGCACCAAAACGAGTATCAATGTATTCGAATGTCAAGTGCCTATTCGATTGATCCACAGTGGTATAATTGAAAATTTTAGCCGACCTATACTACTATTTTTAAAAATCCAAATATTATTGTTTTATTTAAGATAAATTTATCCTTAGAATAATCTGTTTCTAAAGAATGAATTTATTAATATTCACTCGGTTTAAAAAATATTATTATTACATTATTGGATTGATATTTTTAAACTTTCATAATTTTTTATATTATTCCATTTTCTCACTTAAAATGATAATATATATGTATTTTATTTTTGGGCTTCCTGACTACCCGCCACCATAACTGGTAATCATTTTAAAATTTGACGTTCGATTATCCGTCGTAATCGCATAAATTATTATTCCAACCAAATACTAATCTAATCTAATAGCCTTTCCGACTTTTCATTTTGTAACACAAAAGTACTAAATTATATTTTCGCCTAAAATAATAAAATTATATAATATATCCGTCATTATTATTGTTATAAGGTGGCTTTTAAGTTAATGCTGACGTACCGTAAAACGGTGTAAAGAGATAAGTGAAATAATCATTCAAAATCGAAACGGAATATTCTGTGTCTTTAGCTTCTCATATATTAATATATTATACTCTAATATCAAAACTGCGTAGATACAATACTATCGAAAGAATAATCGATTTGAGTTTCGGTGCAAATTACATTTCTTATTTCTTACTACCCGAGATGGTGCAAATTACATATCTTTAATTTGGTACAAATCACAAGCGCAGTTAAAAAATATTGGTGCAGATTACAAATCTTGTTACATACATTTAGGGTCGATTTTGGTGCGAATTGACTACACCAGTGTAAATTATACTTTGGCTATAAAAGATCGGACCTACAGTATCATAATATAATACACGGGCGCTAGTCATTTTGGACCAATTGTATTAATAATTATTTTTCCTCAAAATATTTAATAGTAATCCGTATAGTATGGGTAAAACTTATGGATTTTTTGTTTGATTCTTCCAAAAGTGAAGCTGCACTTGACCAGTTTCATAGCTAAATAATTACATTTATAATTATGTTTACAATACATGCGGTAAACTTAACACGTGTTCAGATCCAATAAAGACCTCCGAAAAAATTGTTCTTGTAGCGCAAATAAATGATAACGACTACTATAGGGATACCACATTGAACCAGATGGAAAGTTATTCAGGCTCTGATCCAGTACTGAAATTGGGGTGATCTTAATTATTCTTAATTGGATCAAATAATAATACTTATAAATTCTAATTTAAGTCATGCGTTTTTATGATGGGTAATTATTTGCTAAATATTGGTGTTATAATTTTTCAAAATTTTGAAATGGTCTCATCGTAACGTTATACAAGCTATCAAAATATAATCACCTGAATTATAAAACGCACGGCAGATTAATAAAACTAAATGAATAATATTTGAATAAAGATTTGAATAATTTATATTCCAATTATTATTCGAATACATCAAATAAATTGAATCTATTATTCAAATAACTTATTTATCATAATTATGGAATAAATCTATAGTTATTATTGCCATCAGCCATCACTCGGATGAGCCTCGTACCAATTTTTAACTTGTCCTGCTTTCTACCTTGATTACTACACAGATGTGTATATTATACTACTAAAGATGTTTTAAATGTAATTTGTAATATATTAGTGTACACAAGTGCATTTTATTTTAAAATTTGCATCTGTGTGTGGTTGAACTGCTATAGTAGAATGATTTATTTTTTTAATTTGCGACTTTTATTTGTATAGGTACTTGGTGAAAGATTATTGTTATAACCAGTAATGTGCTTCTAAAAACATGATTTTTTTAGATTCAAAAATTCAAAAATTCATATTTATTATTACAATTTATGAAGTATACTTGATCGTATATCGTCAGATATTACAATTTTAAGTAATATCTTGCTAAATATAATTTAGTACCTCCCTATGTAAGTAGGAAACGTTGCCTATGGAGTATAGGTCATAAATAATACCTATACCTTGCATTAAAACTTTAGAGTTGAAATCACATTACGGATTGTGGTCATAGCCGATTGAGTCGACGAAGAGAGAAAAAGTATTGTTCCCCCGTGAAACAGAGTATAGTAAAAATAGAATGTCCTTCAATGTTATCCGAATGCTAATAACTTTGTCAATATTCATTTTTTATGCATATTATGTATTGCAGCAGGCATCGTATTTATCTGGTACATTCAGTAAATCTATACCCAATACGTTTTAAAAATAGAAATATGAATTATTTTTCTTTTAAGAGGAAATCAAAATTGTTTGTAAATAAATGTATGAATGATGTTTTTTTTTTTTTCAAGGCCTTTGAGACCATCTTGCCATAGAACAATTCCTCCCTCTTATTTCTGTTCTCCGCTACTTCCTTCCAATCTATGTCTCCAGAATGATATTTATTTTTATTTTTCTGTGGACATCTTTTCTACCAGCAATTTTGCTCCAATTTTCAATGATGGCACTTTTCCTGTAAGGAAATCGGTCTGGAGAAGAACTTTATGAGGTAATTTTTTTGATATTTTTAGGCGTTTTCCCAATAAATATGAAAAACCGAGATAAAACATGAGAAAACCGAGAGAACGGAAAAATAGATACAATTATGTCAAACAAATATTGCATATGTAATTATTTTATCAAACTATGACATAATATATAATGTTAACAGATCAACATTATCAATTGAACTCCGCTCATAATCGTTTTTCCGTTAGCAATGTTATTTACAGATATACATTTTATTCTCGTCTGTAGCCTACATTCCCAACTTTCCACTTATAACAATGGCTATCCCCATTCCCATCCACATTATCCTAGGACAGGTTTTTAAGTTTAATTACGGGTGCATTTCGAAAATATTAATAATTGAATGTGTTCGATTAAAAAAATTGATTGACTAAAAATTCGATCACACGAGCAGCAAAGCCGGAAAGTTTTTCTTCGAAATTTGCAGACCACATAAACGTTATATTATTCAAATACATATTAAACCGATATTGAATTTATGGCGGCTGAAAAATAATTATTAATTTCACTTTTATTAATATTTGCGTTATTACCATACGTATTTAAAAAACAACATCATAGGTAACGTATTATTATTATTATTTTTTTTTTAATTTAAAACTTTTACGTTTATTAAAACATATAAATTACGCAATAACGAGTTACGCAATTGCATTTATAATAATAACATTAATTCACCGAGATCGATAATAAAAATTATAGTAATGAGTTAATAAAATATTCGACTCTGAGAGCTAACATCGTAATATTTCAATTATTATTATTGTGTATGGCGCAAAATTGAATTATGTGTTAAAAGTATACAGCTCTTAAGTTCGCGGAAATTCATAATATTTA